GTAAGTGAACTACCATCATGCACAATACTAGCTTATACAATACTAATCTATATCCGATAGTTGGCAAAACTTTTTGGTTTTTGAAGGATACGGTATGCCCCCAAGTCCTAATCCTACTGCCTTCCTGCTAACATTGCACGACTGGTTTGATAGAATTTGCAAAGCGTTTGAAATTTTTGGGCGAAGGAGGGTTGGTCTTATGAGAAGGAACATGCACGAGTTGAGATCTTCAATTTGTATTACATGGAAGCCTTGATTTGGGTTTTTGGCCCTAAACTCTAGGGTTTTCCCCATATTGTGATGCGAATGCAAAGGCCGACCGTTTTGTCCATGAAAAAATATTTCTAAACCGGAAGGATTCTTGTAGTTTGTAAAGCTAGAGATATAGGAACCGCAAATTTGATTGACGAAGCATTACCCTTCTAGGTTTCCTTTCTTAGGGGCCATTGAGGAAGGCATATCAGGGCGGCTGTTCAGCTATCAACTCCAATATATTGCAGCCACCGGCCTAACAGCTCTAGTAGAGAAGCACGTATAATTCGAGAATAGCTGCCCATTGGTTAAGCTTAACCCAAACCGTAAATCATACATAAGGAAGCAAGAAACATCCTTCCAAGGCTATTATTATTCCACTCGGGCAGCCCTTTTCGTGGACATTGCTATATTTGTTAATGTGTTTGCTTTCCCATAGTTCATGTGGCCAATACACCCCTTGCGCGCCTTGGGCTATTGCAAACCTTGTACATTCCAAAATGTTGGCGCACCTCTGGAAAATTTGCTCGGCTGTTTATGCAGTCCCTAGGGACTCTCTACATAGTTCCCTGGGCTTTATTTGTCGTGTATTTCCCTCGCCCATCAGAGCTTATGGGTTCATACATGGAGATAGTCACGAAGAGAGCTGTGCACGTCCTATAACATAAAATGATTCTCCAACTGTCCCAAAGAACCAAGGCCTGGGAACTAGATTGCCAGGTAAAAAAGCCAACCCGGTCATCTATGAGCCTTTCGGTGGAATATTGAGCCAAGGTTCGACTTCATTGATAGTAAGACTGAAACCGGGGGCCGTTGTCAAATGCCCTAGGTCTTCGTGATGACATTCTGATGTAACGGACGCCACCTCCTCTGTCAAGGATATCAAGCACAGTTTCGAGGTTGAAGAGCGACTTTTCAATATCTTAGGGACACACTCTAGAATAATACCGTATGCCGGCCGAATGCCACTTGGTCCAATGCATTAATATCATTTCTATTATAGCTATATTGGCATTTCCGAAGAACCTCGTGGATTGCTTCTCAAGGAAGCCAGCGATGGTAATCTGCAAGTTGACATCGACGAGCATAACGATACCATTGATCTAAATCTTCCTTTAAAATGGCGTTGTCAGGCAACAGAAGCCGTACACTACATACACCAAACGGGAATCATTCATTCCGATTTACGGCCAGACAATTTTCTATTACACTCGGATTCCAAAAGCAAAATTACTCTCCTACTCTGTGACTTTACAGGATCGACGAATGGTGGTATAGATGGTGGACATCTCCCCGACTCGGGCTTTTTCAATCCATGCAAGCCATGGGCATGGGTGTCAATAGAAGCCGTAGACATATTTAGTCTCGGGTCGGTCTTTTACACGATAATGACCGGCCACTGGCCCTATAAGTCACCTGGGCCATTCACATCCGTGGCGGAGAATAATGAGTACAAGAACGAGTAGATACTCTCTTTGCATCTCAGAAGTATCCTTCGGTTGACGATCTCACTGGTGGTGTGGTGATACAGGGGTGTTGGACAGATCGATATAGTGATATGGCGTCGCTTATTCGAGAAAGACAAATTGTATCCTATTTCGCCGTAGGGGAGTAAAAATGATTTTGAGATAGTATGTACAAACATTATCGAATCCCCACAAAACTCCATTCTCCTGGAATCAATGCCAATAAGACAAACATAGAACATACAGGTTAAGTACCCAGCATCAACCAAGCCATAGCACCAGCCCAGCCAAAGACAAAGATCAAGGTCAAAATACTAGCACCGGCCTTATCTCCATTCGTAATAGGCTTCTCCTTGTCTTCATCACCTTTTCCTTCGCCCGCATTGGGATTACTGCTGCTGTTTCCACCAGTCTTGGAGGTGACAGGCCCGAACGTGCCGGTGTCGAAGTTGATCATGTTCGCAAGGAAGACATTCGTTGCGCTGATCTCTTGCTCCATACCAGTTGTTCCGTCCCATTTGTTTTGATACCACGCGATACCGCATGTGTTGTTGTTGTTTCCTGTGCAGGACTTTGCGGCGGCTTGTGCCGAACTTGCGAGTTTGGGTTTGATCTGCGCTGCGGTGTCTGGGACTAGGAGTGCTGTGAAGGCGAGCCATGAGGAGGTGAGGCCCTTGAAGAGGATTTCGTTGAAGTTGCACTTTTTGATCGGTTCGCAGGTCGTGTCTTCGAAGACGTCGCCGTTCGGGAAGAAGGTTTTCAGGGTTCGGCCGAGGAGACCGTCTACTGGAGTTTTCCACTTTTCGTCGCTTGTCTGTACAGGTGGAGCGTTAGTATTGGAATAATGGACCGCGCGGAATGGGTAAATGGCGAATATAGAGATTCCACTTACAAAGTTATACATGTAGGCCGCACCCATCAGATATGTGCCGTAGTTATAGGTCCACTGGTAATTACCAGCATCGGCGCAGTCATTGCTCATTTGCGTCGAGTCGGCAACATTCCAGGTCTTGTTGTTCACTAGCGGCGAGGAAACAGACCAGTCCCAGATCTTCTCGGCCCATTTCGTGTACTTGTCTTCGTTTGTGTAGCGGGCGAGACGGGCAGCGAGTTGGAATAGACCACCGTTTGATACGGCGTTCTTCATGGTGTATCCGTCCTGGTAAGGGAAGAGCTGCCAACGCAGACCACCACCGCAGGTTGTCATATCCCATCGAGCGGTCTGGGTGTTGAATACACCCTGTGCGAGCGAAAGCCACGAGAATTTGTCGGGAACATCGGGGAATTTCAGCTCGGCGGCCATCATGGCTGCGAGACCCCAGAACATTTGATCGTCATTTCCCTAGAGATACGAAAATAGTCAGAGAAATATCCTTGGTGGTTTGGAATCGTTGTATGGTTCTCACCAGGTAACTACTGTAGTTGCTGGGCATGTAGTCACCCTTCTCGCCCGATTGCCACTCCATTCCTTCGCTCATCAAAGAGTTATAGGTGTCGTCACCGGTGAAGTGCCAGTATTGAAGCAGCGCAAGGAAAAGAGCAGACCCTTCCCACCATTTCTCAGGGAAGGCGCCAGGGATTTGTCCAGTTTGATTGCCGGCATACCATCCCATCATGGAGTAGGTACTCGTACTGGCGGCATCTTTAATTGATTCTGTCCAGTGGTCGTAAAGTCAGTCCCATGCCATTCGTTATCGGAAAATAAATTCGAGTAGCCATGACGTACGTTCATCGCCGATATCTAATTCGATCGCAGGCGTTAACGTCGAGAAGAGGAGTGTTGCGACGAGGCCATTAAGGATGGACCGTGTTCCGGACAAGTGCATTTCGGACTTTGATCAATCATAGATAGTATCGATCTGTAAAGAGAAACGGTCGCGAAAGTGGAAAGTTAGGGGATATCTTGTCAGAGGGTGTTTGGGGGTTGGGGATGCGGCGCAATGATGTATGGGCAGACCCCCAACCCAAAGTTCCTAATTAAAAATAGTTTTCAGGGCACTAATCCACTTTTCTGTGGGGTTGAGAGAAATTGCAAGCTTTTGCTGGTCGATTTCGCAAAGACCGACGATCACCCAGAGCTATCATCTCGTTCGCCACCGGTTGAGCCGAGTAAAGGCCGATGTTGTTTGTATGCGTACAATTGAACCGTTCATAGTTGGGCAGAATAAGGATTGGTATGTCAAATTATCATTATTTAAAATAGAATGAGTGAAAGCGACAGATAATATTGAATAATATAGGGTCTATTGTCCCTGGATGGATTAGGGCTTAGGGATGCCCCACTATCTCGGTCACCACGCATATGCCAAGCCCTGAAACGCGTGTAAAGAAGGCGAGACAAGCTATTCCACGAATTTAACCAAGGAACTTGGACCTCTTGGCTTTTGATATTCAATGCACTTTGTATTACAACGTAGTGTTTCATATTTATGTATGCATGTATGGTGACATGAGTGATTAATACCTCCAAGATAATATTGGTTTTCCCCATAGTGATTTGGTCTCAATCTAGTCTGTATTCAAATGATGTTCAGGTGAAAATATTTCCGTTTTCGAAATAACCGCATTAGGAAATTTATAACCGTGGGCCTGGGGCAGAAAGAGTGGGTCCAGGGGTCACTGACGTCAGAGGCGGGAGAGCCACCTGGGCAGTTCTCTTCTTTCGACGATCAAAAGGGCTGTGTTTCAACTTCACTAAGACCAGGGGTTTCGCAATTTGATTATGTCCAGATCATATTTCTACACGTGCAACAACCTTGTCTCCTAAGGCCAATCGTGAGATTCTGCTTACGAACCCTCCAAAACGGTTGATTGCGATAGTGGGGATAAGCCACAACTTATGCATACAGGTTTATGTTAGGGGCGAGCGCTTAGGAATAACTATCGAGTTGCTACTGTCTTCGTCGCAGCCCCTGGGCTATAATTATGACACGACAGAGAGCAATACTCATTTTCGAACAACAACTCGCTATCTCAACAAGGCACTCAGGCAGGTACTTGGAATACGCAACATCCAATAACAGCCAATCGGCCCCACATCGACACCAATGGCTGCCTCTCAATCTCACAGCTTTGCTACAATATCTATCTTTCTCGCATTATACTCCGAGTCGATGTTACTTGGGACTTGCCAGCCATCTTCAAGGCAAGGCGGACTCTGTCATTTCAACAAATTCTACACGCTCGCAGTATTAATCCCTGAGAGCGAAGCACAAATAATCCCCCAATTCAACAGACTTATAGTTCTTCAACTTCATTGACAAAATTAACCGAATTCATTTACTATAAGTGGAACCCAGATATAAGCCCAGAAAATACAAATATCCACAAAGAAAGAACACCCAAGTATTCAGGAGAAAGACCACCATTTTGCCCGTTGATAACCCTCCTCTGCGCGAACCCATATCGATCATGGCCATACGTCGCATTGAGATGAACATCACCTGAAATCGATCCATCTTCCATCCGAATCCAAGTCCGCATTTCATCCCCAAGCGACTGCTGATCCAGCAAAATCTGCCTTCCACCACGCGCCCAATCCCCATACCCTCCATATCCCGTATGCCGGCCGTAGCACATGTTCATACCATTTCCCGTGACATTGAGGCCAGAAAGCTTACTATCCCATTTGAAGCACCTATCAAAAAAAAGAAAAATATCAGTCAAATGAGATCTTTTGGCGATTTAAGTTGGAATCGAGAATACAACATATCGCATAGTGTTGTCCATACCAGTCATTATCGTGATCATGGCCACTGAAAGTCGCCCCCATCCCCGTGGTGTTCAGCAGAGCACTTATAAATGGGAAGTCTTGAGATTGGTAGCCAGACTCGGCGTCGTAACCTTGTTCCTGAACTCGTTCTCCGTTGATTCCTGGTTCCTTGCTTGGGCTAACGCCTGATTTCTGGAATGCGCGCATTGGATGGGCTGGGATATGGACGAAGGCTAGAGATGGGATTGTTTGCCCGTAGGTAGAGGTTATGTTTGTATTGGCTTTTTGAAACCATTCAACAACCTATCACAAGTCAGCAAGTAGAAATTCAACCTCACATCTCTGGATCAAGGATGAAAAGATGTGAGTGTCGTGATGTTTCATCAACACCATAGTACTTACGCTGTCATCTACCCAATTCTGCCTCGCTCCTGATTTACCATCTTCCTTCTCTGTCAAGGCATAATGGCCACCTTGACTGTCAAAGAACCACAGTATAAACGCAGGGCTATCATCATTCGAACCCTCGTGCGGAAATATTGGAAGGTAGTAGTTCGTGATGCCGGCAGTAGAGCTCAGAACGCTTCTCTGGGTTAAGCTGTTTTCATATTTCGTCTCTTGACGAAACATCTCTTCGGGATCCAGATTAACCTCGCTATCGTGATTCCCATAAGTCGATGCCCATGGTAAACCACGGTCGACTAGTGGTTCAACGATCCGATCAACGTAGAGACTTGAGTTGGAGCTTTGTGTTGCTTCGCCAGAGATTAAATCTCCATTGAGTACCACGAGCTGTACGTTCTCTGAAGAAAGAACGGATCTCATTACCCCGGTGGTTTTGTTGTCTGCTTCATCATCTTTGAATATAGTTAGTATCCCGAAAAAATAGTTAGAACCTGTCGTAGTACCTTCAGCAAAATGCAAGTCATTAAAGACCGATATCTGGAATGTGCCATCCTCAGTAAATCGCAATGTTTGGTCTCTGGCAAGACGTTGGTACGCGGACCGCCTGCGAATTGGCATTGTTATATACTCGAGCTCAGGTATAGATCATCCACGATAACGAAAGATTAACTAGAGAAAATGAAGAACCTGCGGTTCTCAATATATGCCAATTTTTACACAATTTTCTAGTCGCTTATCCCAGATCCAATGAAATGTACCATGGGGATGGCTGTGGATGGTAAGATGTAACCTTACAGAAACAGCGCCGCTTAGGTCCCAGTGGAGGAGAGCCATGATCCATTGGATGCCAAGGATACCCCCTGGATGAACATTTTGTCTGGTCGTTAGAACTACCATGCAAGCTGCTTATTGTACGTCATGGCCAAATATGTTACTTTTAGTATTGAAGTGGGTCTTATCGTGACTTTTAACCTTTGGCTATTGGTGGCTGAGTCTATCTCACCAATCAACTTCGCACGTTTTGATCCACTCAGTAAGCACAAAGCATAAATTGAGACCTTAAAATCCTTAAATCCGAATGCCCAGGTGGATGTCAGCAAGGAGAACATGGACGATATGCATATCTGAACAAAAGATTTTCAAAGCACCCTATCAATCCTCGGTACTATCCACTTAATCCACGAATAAAACCACAGTATCCACCCCCAATCTTTTTCTCCAGACCCGCGCCAACCACTCGATATCCCCAAGGAGTATTCCGCTTGTTCTTTGTGATGTCAGATATCCGCCTTATCTCTAGGATCGATCGATGCCTAGACTGCTATCTTGTTGCACGCTGCAGTGGCTTGAGTGCTGGTGGTAGAATCTGGGATCTACCCCGCTACAACAAGAATGCAGCCAAGAACGTATTACCAAGCACCTTGTACAACAGCATCCATGCTTTGGAGGCAAGATTGGCCGCCAAGAGCGGAGCTTTTTAGTACACTGCATACTGCTGACGCCAAGAGGACTTACATCCACCCGCGCAGATGAACCTTGGCAGCATCGTGGACCTTTTGGTCTAACTCCGAAGATTCCATAATGTAGGAGCCTAGATAGGAGCGGAATTTGTAAAGTGCGGAATCTATGATATTTGATCTATTGATAGAAGGGGGATTTTGCCGGCCATAAACGAGGTGAGACAGGTAAACCAAGGGATTCTTGATCATGGCGGTCAACGAAGATGAACTCTATATAGGATTTATAATAGCTTACATAGCCTTAATTGAACTATTCCGTATTCGGTGCAGTACCTAGGTACTTCCAAGGTTGGTCTCTCTGCTTACCAATTGTACTACAATGTGCATATGTACATGACAACTCGGTTTCCAAGGAAACCAACTTATCTTCCCAGTACGAAAAGACCCAGTGTCGGCCATTATATGACAATGACTCCCACGTTCGGAGTTTCAGATTGTTGTGCCACACCCTTCACAGATGGCTAATCTTCTAGACTCCCTATTATTTCTAATTGCATTCATCCACACTCTATGCCTCGCCGACTCCCCCAATCTCCGCGAAATACACAGATTCCCCAACGGAACCTGGGTCGAGAACATCGCAGTCCGGCCCAACGGCAACCTCCTCGTCGCGGTACTGAGCACAGCAGAGCTCTGGGAAATTGATCCTTCAATCCCATCAGGTCCCAGCTCAGCACGTCTGATCCACCACTTCGACGGCGCCGAAGACGCAGATGGGATCACGGAGCTTTCGCCAGATATCTATGCAGTGGTTGCATCCAACTCGGTCTGGACGATCAATCTCAGAAACCACGAGCCTGCCAAACCGATCCTTATCGCGAAACTCCCTGCTGGCTATTTGAACGGCATTGCCGCTCTAGATGAAGGAAACGCAGTCGCCATCACCGACTCCCAACTCGGCCTTATATGGCGTCTCGATATCCACGCCGGCACGTACAGCGTGATCCACCAAGACGAGACAATGGCCGCAAATAATGACATGGGTTTATTACTTGGGGTCAATGGGTTGAAGATAGTAAACGACTATATGTACTACAGCAACAGCCCAAAGCGGATTTTCTGTCGTGTGAGAATTGATACACATACCGGTCGTGCTTTGGGTCCTTATCAGGTTATCAGCAGCGATACACGGGGCGATGACTTTGCTATCGGTCCGCATGGGGTTGGGTATTTGGCGGGTCTTGTTGATGATGTGGCTATTAGGGTCTTTCCTAATGGATATCATGAGGTTATTGCGGGTTCGAAGGGCTCGACGGATTTGATGACTGCTACATCCGCGGCTTTTGGGAGGACACAGAGGGATCGCAATGTGCTTTATATCACTACTGGAGGGGAGACCAAACTTCCTGTTCATAACACGAGTACCAGAGGTGGGAAGGTTATGGCACTTTCTGTGGAGTTTTAGGGCATTGCCTCCTTGTATGCTGTGCTAGATTGTTATTCTATACATTATCCGGTTTTACTTGTGTAAAAGTGGTCAAGCCAATTTCCGTTTAACAAGCTCGGGTAGCTAAAGGTACGAACAACTTCAGAAAGCTTCTAAGAATATTGAACTAGGTTATCTAGATTCATGAAGAGAAGTCAAGGTCATATGTACGGATTTCCATTCCATTCCTAGCAACAAAACAAGACACTGAATGCCATTATGAATAACTGCGCTTGCATGATCGTGGCGATCTCCAATTCCCTCCATTGCTCCGTGATATCATCTTTTTTTTTCTATTTTCATGTTGAAAGGTTGGACATCGCTTCTTAAACGCAAACCCCTTATACACTTACATGCGCATTCATGAACACAAATGCGGATAACGATCATGACTCGATTTCACCACGGCGAAGTGCCAACAAAGCCCGGACATCTGTGACAGATTGTAAAGCTTCGAGCATGGGAATCAAGTGGAGCAGACCGTTGTCTGTGGGGTCGTTGATCCAACCTTCGATAGGAATCGCATTATCTAGCGATGATTATTAGTTCGAGCGCACAATGATAGATAAACATGTTTATTACCTTCGTGGAAGATATAGCTCATCGGGCTGTTGTCCAGAATCATCACCTTACTCAGATCCGGTTCCACGGAGCTCAGGTCCTTGATGTATGCCCCGTTACGGAATGTGCAATGCTGTCGGTATAGACGGCCTTGGAAATACTTCCGTTCCGACTCGAGCCAGTCGATAACAGGGTCGGCGTACTCTTGAACGCTGGCTGTGAAGACGACAAGCTTATACCACTTGCTGATCTTGCGCAGGAACTCATCGCAGTGTGGTCGTTTATGGACGTAGTACAAAATGGGATGCTGGGGGCCCAGTGTCGTTTGTGGTCCACCCGGGGACAATGAAGTAGTCGTGGGTATCGAGAGCTTAACCTCAACCATGTGGCCACTGGACATGCGGCCACCCTTAGCGAGCGAGTGGATTAGGGTCTCATCGAGATCCAGCACCAAAGTCTTCTGCGGAGGCCTAGCATTGCGGGGAGCTGCAGTATATGAAGGTACTCGTGGCGGGAGGAGTGGGCGCGGTGGAGTGGGGGAGTGTGGGTACTTTGTTATGCGGTGGATGTTGGGAGAGGTTGGGGACTTCAAGCTGTCCAGGTGGACAGCGCCCTGGACGCGAGAGACACCCTCGGGCATTGGATGTCCTAAATCTGAACTTTGGGATCTTCGATGTCTCTGTCGCTTGAGAGATTCTTCATTATGGAGCTTGATTCGTATAGACCGACGGGGCGTGTGCTCATGCTCTTCTCCTTCTGGAATTGGATCTGTATCGTGGCTCTTTGTCTTGGCGGGTCGGTTCCTCCCACTTGAGAGATTCTTGATATGCCGTCGATCTGTGTCGGACTCTGATGTTGTTGATATAATAGATTCGTGAGAGCCTTGGGGTCGGAGCTTCCGGGTGGAGCCACTGCGACGCCGACCTTCTATCCGGGTGGCCCCTTTATCCGACCGGATCGTTGGGGCGGCAGATGAGCGCCGCAATTTCCGGATAGGTGCGAGAAGCGAGTACCGACCATCGTCGGCCTGAAAGCATTGAGCCAAATATACGCCGGGTGCAGCAAACGTAGACAGAATAAACTTGAGCGTTTCCGTGATCGCATCGAAAAAACGTTGGGTAATTAGTCGCCAAGTATTTCGAGCAGTGAGCGTGCCATTTTTGTGAGCCTCATGCAGTAACGGTGTCTTCTCGTCTAAGTCATATGCCCCATCCTCTCCATCTTCGTTCACAGGCGGTGGTCCACCATCGTAGCTCTTCTCAGTGGGGTCGAGGGACCGAAAGTTATCCTCGCTATAAGACCGGAGTTTCGAGAAGTCTGCCGGTAGAGGTGCACGTTTGCTATCGCCTTGAGACTGCGATCTATGGCGTGAAGAGTTGGAAGATTGGCCAATGACTCGCGAGGACAGGATATTCAGCGAGTTCATCTTCCCTCAAGGCGTCACGGGAGACGGGGGCGCAGCGATCTATTGACAAACGGATCGTGAGTAAATCATCAAATCCACTTAGAGCGGTCCATGAGAGTGTAGGATGTGATATGAAGGAAAGAGGGGGATCGTAGGGAGGCGTAAGCTGTTCTAACCTCAATGCGCCAGTCACCCGTGCCTCGGAAGTACTTCCGCAACTCCAAATCTGAAATATACAAGCTCAAAGCTCAAAGCAATCCAAAACCGGAAATCAAATAATAGAAATGCGAAAACTGAAAGAACACCAATAGGAAAATCCGAAGCCGAGACAATAAAGTGATTCAATGAGTGTGGGGAAGCGGACAAGATCAAACGGCAGAAAATCATTCTTTGTCTCTCCCACTATCTCTGGCTCTGCGCATCTAAGAATCTCTTGATACAACACGTTCTATTTACATGTTTAGTGTGATTTGGATTTGAAACTTGGTATGTTTATTACTCGAACAGTACACACTCCTACTCAACCCCCCCACTGACACCGCACAGATTTCCTCCAAACATCCCACTTCCTCATGCCGTCTTCTTCGTTGGCCCTCACGCCGGGCCTGGAGTCATTCCTCAAGTGCCTCAAGACAAACCCGATTGATACCTCTATTGAGACTCTGATTTCGTGCGTATCTCAAGATTTCCAGCCATGGCCGCTACCCCTACGGACGATCAAACTTGCTAACATAGTATATTTCAGCTTGCTCAAGCGACGTCAAATCCGCCATTCGCGATCATGTGCCACAGCAACCGCCTATTTGCTACGGAGCGTGATCTCCGCATGTCGTACAACAGATTCAGTAAAGCTTATTGAGCGGGTGCAGAGCGTGGGCAGGCGACTGATGGCCGCGCAACCGCGCGAGATGGTTGTGGGCAATATCGTGCGCCGAGTCCTAGGTCTTATTCGTGACGAAGCGGAAGACGATCGCGACGCGGAGTTCGCTCTTAGCGACATTGGTTCCGAAAGTCAGCCACAAACACCCAGAGCTTATGATGGTGAGTTCAAACTTCTGGTCCAAATATCTATGCAGCAGTGACTCATAAATTCATAGACCCAGCATTGCCTTTGGATCGCGACTCGCTCTCCATCCGGCCCGATGATAGATCCTCTCGCCCGCCTCTGACCTCTATGTTCAGTCTACTCTCCCATCCCGAACCCGAGAACTCACTTCCCAGCACTCCGGGATCCTCCTCTCCAAGTGGACGCCTCCCTAGCCACGGCCCAAGCAAAGACGTACGGGCTGAAGTGCTCGAGGGTATTGGCGAGATCATTGATGAGCTTGGCCAGGTGGATGATCAGATCGCCGCCTACGCATTGGACCACATTCACTCCAACGAAATCATCCTCACCCACACATCCTCGACCACTGTCCAAAAGTTCCTGCTCAAGGCCGCCACAAAGCGAAAGTTCACCGTCATCCACGCCGAGTCATACCCGAATAATCACGAGGCTACACACGCCACTGTCAGTGGTAGCGCTAGCGACGATGACAACCTCGGCTTGGAGGCTTTCCAGAAGCCACTGATCGAGCACGGCATCACCGTCATCCTCATCCCAGACTCTGCCGTCTTCGCTATCATGTCGCGAGTCAACAAGGTCATCCTCGGCACACACTCCGTCCTTGCCAATGGCGGCCTCGTCGCCGCAGCTGGCACCCGTGTCATCGCCCGTGCCGCCAAGGTCCACCAGACCCCTGTCGTAGTCGTGAGCGGTGTTTACAAGCTCAGCCCTGTCTACCCATTCGACTTCGACTCGCTCATTGAATACGGTGACCCGAGCAAGGTCCTCTCATATGAGGAAGGTGATCTCGTTGATCTCGTCGATGTCCAGAACCCCATCTATGACTACGTTCCCGCAGAGCTCGTCGATCTTTACATCACTAACATGTAAGTTTCAAGCATCCATTCCACTCGCTGATCTCTTTTAATAATGCTAACCTTGCTTTCCCTACTCCAGCGGCGGCCATGCCCCATCATATCTTTACCGCATTGTCTCAGACCACTACCGCAAAGAGGATATCAGCTTCTAGGCTGGTGGTTGGCCTAGGCAATTGTGTCAAACAGCTCATGAAAATCAACAAAAAATCAAAAATCATTTGAGGGACATTTGTACGAACGATACCCGAGGAATTACTTTGACGATTGATACGCAGAAGTAATGAATAAAAAATAACTAAATTTCTTTTCACTTTTGTCAATATTTAGAAAGCGCTGTGCTAGCCAATACATTAGACTCTCCGCGCAATCAAAGACGCCTTCAATACACTATGTCAGGGCTGATCCCTACGGTACAAGAGCAAGAAAAATGTTGGTTAGCCTCCAACCACTCCTATTCCTTTGCCATCAACCTTGCAGTAACTGCTAAGACTTTCTGATCTAAAAAAATTTAGACCAGCGTTCTTGAAACACACCCCCTGCTCGAAGGTACGTTTATACCACCAAATCTGTGAACTGCACTGCACAATCGAAACATATCATTTTAACCTACGATCCTCAGCCCTGTGCCAAGCCGGACTGTAGAAGAGTGCCTTGGCATATTGTGGATCATTGCTAGCACATAGGTTGTTGTTGTAGAGTACAAAAGCTCCTTAAGCAACCAATCATTCCACCCACTCGCACTCGTATGCTCGAGTATACTCATCCGGGTCCCAAGCAAGAGGTCTCGTATCCATCTCTTCAAACTTCAGCTTTACACGTTCTTCTATGTACTCCTTTTCTTTGGATGTCAAGAGATGAAGCCTCTCCTTCTAGGCATTGTCAGGATCGTAGCTTTGAGTCGGTCCAAAGAATCGCCGGTCAATCTTCTGCCAATAGATTGAGTCAAAGGCAAAATTATTCCGTGCGGCATACATGACCCAGAAGTTGCCGCTCTTCCAACTGTCTCGCATTGGGCCAGAGAGACGCTGACTCTCTAGAAGTTGACCAGCGCGGATTGCCTCATCCTCGCAATCGTTCATAGCTTGAAGAAATGTTTCGAGTCGTTTATCATATTGTGTGCACCAGTCGTCGAGGTCTATAGGCCAATATTCCGGCTTTTCGAGAAGAAGCCACCAAGGCGGGTGCATGGGAAAATTCGACAGGGGCAGCGTATGTGAACTCCCAGTCTACCACTCCGATAATATTCTCAGCTTCATCAACGAGAACATTCTCTGGTCGAAAGTCATCGCACCAGATTGGAAATGGGCCAGTCTCATAGCGCAACCATTTCTCTCTCAATTTCTGGTCTCGAATAAGTCTTCGGAAGAGAAGTCGCGCCACAAAGTTTCGCCGGCAGTCTTCTTCCGAGTCAATAGAATCGTTCCTTTGACTGATGAGGTGTGAAAGTTGTAGTTCCGCCAGTGCGTTCAAGTACGACGATACTTCAGAGTACGTGCTATTCGGTATTTTCGAACGAGGTAGTGTTCCCAGTTGCACAACTTCATTCATGGAATATGATAAGGGCCGATTCAACACCTTCCACGTCATATCTTTTGGGTCATGCCCAACAGACCCTATCTTACTGAGCGTAAGAATAGAAAGCGAAAGAACGATTTTGGCCAGTTTTCTGTAGAGGTCCCCCAGCCTGGCCATATTGAGGTTGAGATTCAGAACTGGACGGACGGTTGGATCTGATTTCGAATTCTCAAAGAGCCTGCAGATACTCTGTGCTCGATATAGTCCATGATGATAAAAGGACCTAGTTTGCGGGACTCTCTTTCTTCTGTCCCCAGCGAGAGATAGAAGGCACCGGAATTGGAATCATGTGTGGTCCTTGGGTTTGCTCCAAAATGAACTGTATGACTCTGACTTCATTGTGGACTTTCTCTTCTGGAAACATGATAATACCAGGGAATGGGAACCTGATAATAGCGGTGGTATTATCGGTAAATACCATTCGAAAGCAGATATTGAATCCACCCAACGAGAAGATATCAAACTCGCACCATTCCCGAGGATAAAAATGCGTTGCAAGAAAGCGACCAACTGCATTAAAGGTTTCATCTTTCTCGAGATACTTATACCAGCGTTTGTAGATAATCGTTCCTCTTTCCCAGGCTTGGTCGTCGTAAGCAAGACGTGGTTTCATTGGTATAGAATCATCAAAACAAATGAGAGATTGGTAGAAGAACTAAAGAGTTATTTAGATACTATTTGAATAGATTGAAAGATGGGGGCTGGGTCGACCAGTCTCCCTTCGGCCCTAAGTCAACAAAGCTTTTGGCCTGAGGCCACAGCCTCACAGCTTTCCAACCACCCACATCTATAGACTGTGAGCCCGTGACTTATTTCTATATTTATATTGCGACTATATTCTCATCCTTGTTTTACAGGTAGACGGCAGAACATGACAGTAGAAGGCTCAAAACGTGTAGACGACTTCTCCAAGGATCTATAAAATGGCCCTGCAAGCACATATGTCGCGATTATATATCATTTTTGTTATCTATCCTACTTTCTACACTTTCTCTTAGCCCTCCAAGCCTTTCAATCATCACTGTATAGAAGCCCCCAAGAAGCCAATAGACCTTGGTATACCGACCTTTAGGTGTCTCCTAGTCGATACAGACCAACTAATTCGTGTAAAATGAGGCTAACCTTGTGGCTTATCCAAGGCTAATACCAAGGATATCTTGATGGCTACTGAAAAAGACGTGGGTTAGATATATATATTCATAGCCATCTATACAAACTCGGAATACAAAATATACATAGTTAGTAGCCATTGCAATTACTAAACACTCCACATGTGAATGACTTTTTATTCCATAAGAAATAGACAAGGCCTAGAAGCATGAGATAGACATGCCTATACGGATAAATCCCCAGACATACTCCGTCGACAACTCCACATCAACGGAGAACGATTATGTACCCAAACAGCTTGCATATTTACATCATATCATGTCCATGAATGCTGTATTCACACCAAGATCGTATCCTACGCTTTACTGTGTCCCCTATAGAAAACTCTAGCAAGGATCCAGGAACCAAGTGAAGTATACGGGAAGGTCAAGAAACCCGGGAAAAAGATAGAAAGTCATGGCGCCATAATCTTTTGGAGGTTGTATCAATCGTGTTTAATTCGCAAATAAGCGGATCCACCACATTCCGGACGAAAGCCCGCCGGGGGACTCCCCAAAAAGAAAATATCTCATGAAATCAAGGCGCTGATGAGGCGGGCTTTCCGTCCGGCACCGTTCCCACACTCCAAGGCTCCCGGTCGCTGCATTTTTGATTTCGAACAGAACGCGTCGAGTTGTTTAAGAGCGGGGCTTCTCCTTCTTCTCCTTCCACAGAGCGGCGAGACCGACACCGGAGACCTTGACGACCTTGAAACGGACACCGGGAATATCACCCTTGGCCTTACCCTTGCGACCGAAACCGGCGAGCAGGACCTCGTCGTTCTCGTCGATGAAGTTCAAGCAACCGTCATTGGGGACTGTAGAAACATGCTAGTTAGCATATGTCTTTTGGTAGTTGTGTGTGGCGGTTTCCGTCATGTCGTGATTCCAACTCGTATAGACCTTTCCAACACATTCATAACGATAACAGTAAGGAACGGGGTTACCCACCGAAAGCAGCGACCTTCTTGCCGTTCTTGATGAGCTGGACCTTGACACACTTGCGAATGGCGGAGTTGGGCTGCTTGGCCTCAACACCGACCTTCTCGAGAACGATACCCTTGGCGTGGGAAGCACCACCGAAGGGGGATGACTTGTAAGCGGTTCCGAGAAGACGCTTCTTGAAGTGGTCATCAGCCCAGCGCTGATCCTTGCGGTGCGCCTGGAGCTTGCGGGCGGCGTTCAAACCACGGGGTTGTCCTTTACCCATGTTGGCGGATTATGTGTTCGACGGTCAACTGAACGAGAAAAAAATAGTTAGCGTCGTGTCGAGTGCAACGGTGGTTTTGCTGTTTGTGGGTGTTTTCGATGCGTGTTCGTGTTTGGTGGAGGCCGAGTTTTTGTGCGTACAAATGGATGCGATCGTTGAAGAATCTCGCAGTATCACAAATAAAATATTTCGGAAAAGCACAAACAATGCAGGGGAAACAGCAGGATATCGAATACGTACCGACTGGGAGGGGTGTTGTCGGCCAAAGGGGCTGAGGGTCGATTGTCGAAAAGTCGAAGAGTTCCGGATTTCCCTTACCACACGCTTTGGATGCACCTCAGGTGACTTTGTGCGCTTAGCCCTAAGCGAGTCACGGGACAGTCGTAGCCCCCACCTCTGCTTATGTCATCATATTGATAACGATAAGATTATCAGTCCATCATCATCCCCATTCGGATGTTCAATGTCTGTTGTTCTCTCAAGCATTTGTTGAAGATGGATTTGTCAAGAAAACCTACGAATCCAAATACTCAGCGCCTGCCTCCACCAGCCCTTTTTCAGGGCCCACCATCACACAATGTCTCTAATATCTCATTGTCCGTACCACCTGCAGCCTCATCGTTAGCATCTGCCTCCGGCAGCCTACCTCCACCCCTGCATCGGAACCGGTCACCTCGCGGAGCCGAGGGCGAAACTCCCGAAAAGTCGAGCTTGTTATCACCTTTAATATCGCGCCGCCCCTCCAAAAACGATGTAGACGGATCCGACGCCATCTGGCAGGAGATGCAGAGCGCCCTGTCAGAAGTGGAACTCAGCGCTGTGACGAGCGAGAATGTCTTCGGTGCAAAGCACTCTGAAGCATTGGAAGATTTACGCATGAAACAGTTGAAGCTCGCTCAAGCCTGGGCACGTAGTGAGGCAGACGATGAAGTTGTGGATCCCGGTCACAGCGGAGCCGATAAAGCCAGCGGAACCACCAGCTCAGCGCGGGGAGGTGCTGGAGAGTCGAACCAACAGTATGATGCAGCGACGGAAACTAGCGCAGGCCGCGGTTCGGTGTTGCACCGCTCGTTGGACGATGAGACTGAGAAAGACATTCGTCTTGCGCGAAAGCGCCGCGAGGCTAACGATCGGTACTTTGATCGGGTCAACGAGGGCGTTTTGGATGTCGTTGCTAAACTGGAGGAGGTAGCTCAGGCTATGCGCACCGTTGAGCGGGAAAGCAAGGATATCTGGAGTGATTCGGAGAGTGTCACGACAACTGCGCCGTCATCAACCCATACAAGTTGAACTCTTGAGTCTTCCAGTTGATTCAGCTGCAGCTCCGCCTTTTCTGCATTGATTTCATTTACATATTTTCCAGCGGGCCAGTGCGAAAGTCCTAGGATTGATCGGGTCATCACCGAGTCTTGCCGCACCGCATTGATATATCTATCTGGGAATGCGCTGGACGCATTTACAATATCCCCTGGGGGAAATAATAATACTAATGCATGTAAATTATGACATAACTAAATCAAGGGTATCCAAACTCCAGTGCTTAAATCCAAACCCAAACAAGCAGTCATGATATTACATCCAAGGATTCTTTTTGAGTCAAGCCTTTGCTTTAGTCCCAGAGATGATCCCTCATTCCCGTTTCACCACTCGTACAGCAGCCTTCCAGCCTTCTGAAGCAGCATCTCTCACATCCTCCCATTTCGTCTCATACGCCTTCCTCGTCAGGACCTCCACTTCTTTATTCCATCTATGCTTCAGTATCTCTTTCATAGTCGGCTCGGCTTGTTTCTGCGCTTCCAATTCTTCGCGCCGCTGTCTTGGCATGTCTTCTGGTAGGAAGCGCCGGTCATAGGCGCCAGCCGAGGAGGTCAACCAGTCTATTTGCTCGACTTGCGTGTGAATGGCGTTGCGCTGTGATATGCGTGTTGAACGGTGGACTTGGATGGTAATATAGAGAACGGATGAGGTAAAGGCAAAGCCACCGACCTATTCCAGTACGAATTGAAGTTAGTCCTTGTTTCCTGTTATGAATTCCAGGGTAGATCGTACAAAGCCCGTGAAGAAGCCCATATTTGTTGTGGTCTTTGACGTCGCTGGATTACCGATTTATTCGTGAGCGTAGGTGGAAGATGCGACAATTTGCCCAAGTGTTTCGCGATTATAGATCTGGTCTTTCCCTGGTAATAAAAAAGCTCAACTGAAATGTAATCGAAAAGCTGATTATCCTCGAACAAGCAGAGTGAACGCGGAAAACTGAAGTCGGACAGGCGGTGGAAGAGCTCCGATTGGCCGGGACAATTCTTCTGGGCCGAACATCCTCTCTCCTTCATCTTCAGGAACACCTTGGTTTGGCCATTGACCTCGCGATTCCCACTCTACTTTTAATAACTCGGCCTTTTTCTACCTCTTCTCCTCTCCCTTAACAATCATCACCATGGCCGGCGGTGGAAGCAGATACCGCCACTTAAGCCGCGACTCCGCGCATCGACAGGCCCTGCTCCGAAACCTGGTAACATCCCTCTTCGAGCATGAGTCAATCACCACAACATGGGCCAAGGCCAAAGAAGCCCAGCGCCTGGCTGAGAAGTTGATTACCTTGGGCAAGAAGAACACCGAAGCCAGTCGGCGACGAGCATTGGAGATTTTCTACGTACGTTGAATTCCAGAACAAGCCCACCCGAATTCCAATCACAACGGGAATCAGTCTAGTCACGAGAAAACCATGGGTCTACCATTTCCATGATGAATCACTGCAATTCTCAATTCATTTTCCCAAAGAGAGAGAAAAAAAAAAATCAACAACCCAATGACAACACTAACATCCCCTAGACACCACACGAAATGCTCCCCAAACTCTTCGGTCCCCTCCGCGAGCGCTACGCAGACCGACCAGGCGGTTACACACGAGTCCTCCGCATCGAACCCCGCGAAAAGAACGAGTACTTCTCCCCCAAGAAGGGTGTCAAGAACGCCGTCCGAGAGCCTAAACCCCAAGTCAAGGCTCCCTCCGCGATCCTGGAGCTTGTCGATGGGCCAAAGGATATTCGCTTCGCTATGACTGCGCGCACGGTGGCACGCGAGCGCGAGCAGGGCCGGGATCTTGTGCACGCGCTCACGAGGTTGAACGTGAAGAAGGTCACACAGTTCCGGAAGGATGGTGTTGAGGTTTTGGAGCAGGCAATCTCCAAGCTCAGTCTTGCCAAGAAGCAGAGTGAAAAGCTCGCTAAGAAGGAGGCTGAGGGTGAGTCGAGGGATTAGCTGTGGGGAGTGCTAGCTCTCTCTTGTGGGGGTTCTGTTCCGGAATTCTCGGTCTGGGGGTAATTTCTGAGATCTGTCTGGGAGATGTTTTCTCCTAGGCTTGGTGGGTGTGCTCGATGTTGGCACCATCCTGCTTGGTCTCTGGGTTTGACTCCGTTGTTCTTTACTTGTTTTTCTTACCAGGAGTTCTGTCTTCTTCCTGTTTATTATGGCATCTCCGTCTTCGTTTGCACTCGCGCATATGACATAGCCTCTGTATAAAAGATTTTGATACCTCTTTATTCGCACTTCTTCGTTGGTTTTTTTAGCTTTGGGTAAAGGCATGTGTCCAGTCATACTGGGGAAGGGCCGCCGTATAGAATATTTCATCCGGGGCTTATATATAGATATGAAGCTTGGCCACTACCTGATAGACAGCATACCATAATCAAGGACGTTGTCAACGAACACTCGTCCATAGTAGACAGACGTTCAGAACCCGGCGTCTTGTCGATATTGATGCCTGTCGATCCAGGCCTCAATATATGGATTCAACAACCTTCACAACAACGCCATGACCTGCAATGCAGATCAAATTGAAGGCTCACCGCAAATAATAAGGACCTTATTGCATCGGTATTGATACTAGATAACTTTTGCATGATTTGGTAATTATGTTGCCAATGCGAGTGTGACATTGACGAACTATATATTTAAGACTCCACATACTCTTCAACTAGAATAAAACTCACTTCAAGCAATTAGACCTGAAACCCCCAGTTTCAAAAGCCACCCATGATCTAATTCTTCAAGAAGTGGTCAAAGTTCCCTGCAGACTCTGAATGTCTATTCCTGGGGCGACGGTTGACAAGATCTGATATATCAGCTGCAGCCCCGACGTAAGAGACTAGTGCCACCCACACACGGCAATTGCAATCAAGGGACAATAAGATTCAATGCAGAATTACCAATAGTTGAACTCTCTAGCATATGATCCAAGCGCATATTGTTACTGGTTTGCCCAAGGGATCATTTTATTCATCTACGGCGCTTAGTCCTGGTAGATATTCAAAGCTTCAATTTTCCTCTCTACAAAACTCCAGTGCTCAGCAGGATCTAAACTCTGGTCAAACAATATAGAGCGCTCAATTTCCTGTTGTTCAGCATTCGATACACTTTCTTACTACACCGCAACTTCCTTATATGAAGTATGCAATACCCGATATCCCCAATTATACTCTTAGGGTCCAATGCTCACTGACCTCCCACCAGGACAGAAAAATCATACTCAGAACATCTACTCAAAATGGAAAAAGCGTCAATTGAAACACAGAACCCGCTCCGACAAAATGCCCCAAGCCCTCTATACGCCGACACATACAAAGAAGTCGCAGCGTCACCCCGTCCAAACATTGAACACAGCATGAACGAGGATAGCACCCTGGAAGTCAATGACCGGGACTGCACACTAGAGTTCAGCGACCGAGACTACAACCTGGAACTCAATCAATATGCAGACGACAGACACACCGAGAAGCAGGTCGAGGCTGGAGTCGGAGCTGCAGACGAAAACCAGGCCGATACGAGTGGGCGCCAGTCCACAGCAGACGGAAAACAAGATCCGGAGTCGCAATCTGTGACAGGGACGGTCAGGCGTCATACGTCTCGTCGGCGGGAGTGGATTATCGCTGGTTCGGTTTTTGGGGTTGTCGTTCTTCTTGTTGTTATTATTGTTCCTTCTGTGATATTTGGGACTCGTCATTATAGGCCGCAGTATGAGCCGCCTACGAGTCCGTATATTCTATGAGACAGTCGAGGGCTATCTGAGAGGACTTGGATGTATAGATTGAGGGCTGGGGAACTGGATGTGAATATGGAAGGTTTAAGTGCTGTTCCTTCGTCTTATAGTTTATAGCTTGGTCAGATACATATGCAACTTGAGAAGTCAATACCAGATTGGGTATACTTATCCCCTAAATTGGTATCAAAGGTTATACATAGAAATGTCTCTTGTACAAATGCTTTGGTTTCCGCCTTTTTCTGCTGTTTACCTATACAACTGAGAAGGGGGAGAAAATATCTCAAAAGACATCTATGTTGTAAACAGAATATCTGAGGCTACTAAAAATACATCACAAGGCCGCATCCGCGGCCCTCTACTCTTGTCTTCTATACTAACTGAACCCCTCCTTTGGCCTTTTACCAACTTAACCAGTTAAAAGGCGATATTTTGTAGGTCACATGATATTAATAAACCCTAACTACCAGTAGTACTTCCAAGTATACCTAGGCCTTGCAAGACCTTTGCTGCACTGATTTTACACTGTCCATACGCCCTTGAACATACCTCCCAAGCGTAGAATTCTCCTTCTCTGACGTACCGCGTCTTGCCTCAGCAGCGCGTGCAAAACCCTTACTTTATCTATCTGTCAAAGAGACCATGGAGAATATTATTGTTAGACCGTGCAAAGCCTAAAGTCTTGTCGAGGCATGGGCATGATTTACCAATTCAAGGAATAAATTTTGCAAGAAATTTTTTTTATATGTCAAGCATCTCCTACTACATGGCTTATAGCCTTTGTTTTCTCAGTTGTCAAGTAAGATAGTCATACCTAGATCCGTATGTATTATAATTGCCTTCTCTCTCTTAGTATACAATCAGAGCTTTAATTATCACCAAGCCATGTGCAAAAGCTCAAGACTAAATTTAGTCAAACCTTGAAAGAAAGGTAGGATAGGTATCCATGTTAGGCTTGTAATATAATTGGATTGGATACCAGGCATTTGAGAGGTTAAGTCTGGTATAGAATCTTACCACTCACATCTTACCTGGGCAACCTTAGGATAGGGAGAGGCAACTCTCTACTCCGTCGAAGTTATTACCATAAAATAGGTTTACAATGCCCGTACTTTCTTGTTTTCGCCAAGTTGGCGAGGGATCTATATTGAAAGCTCTTTGCGGTTAGCGAAATGCGATGGTGAGACACACCCCGGTCTTTTAGCGGAACTACCGTAAAAATGGGATCTGCAAAGGTGCATGGAAGGATGCGGTACACCCCCAGAATTGGTAAATGCTTAGGAGATACCACGATATAACGTCATATCTTACTTGTATTGGTTTTTATAGATCTGGTGGGCATGTGACACGACCCACCCGGAGATGGATTCTCGTATCTCTACTTTACTCTTTCTCAAGACATTTGGGAGATATTTTATTTTACTATGAAAATGGAAACCTTTAATCACATAAACCTTCGCATTAGAAAGGCGAAGAATGACGACCTTGTCCAAGCTTTGCGGGGTCAGAAGATCCCTCGAGCCCTTGGCGACGAGAGTACAAGAAGATGTGTCATTCGTGGTATCCGATATCACTATGGCTTCGGGACCCAGCTTCGTGGGCTCCTTCCCGAATTCACTCGCACCCTCAATGCAAGAAGTAACATGAGCAATGAAATACCTGATATGAACCCAGAATGCCCTGAAGAATTTCCCTACTGTATCTGGCATCCCGATACAGCGTCAGAGGCAACCTCTCGAGAGCTAGCCAAGCGCTATCCTCACATGAAGTACTTAGTGGGTCGTGCATGCGCCGTGGCAGGTTTTACAGATCTGTTTCACGAGTTGGATCTGCTACCTGAATGACATATTGCCGAAGAAGCACGCGAGAGCGGCCACATGGCGATCTTTGATGCTATCATGAAACCGGGCACTAAGTATAATGCCATGAACGATTATACTAGAGAGATATTCACTCCAGTTCCTGGAAATTTGAACGGTGATACGGCCATTCGGTCATATCTCGATATTCGATTTGCATTTGACAAGGGATGGTTGCCGTCGAGCCACCATGGCCTCCACTGGGCGATGAACGATGATTATTGCGACATCTGTGAAGACCGGCGTGTGGATAAGCTCGACACAGACCCTGATACAACGCCTTTTGCGATCAAAGACGAGGAGATCTTGCTAATGCTCTACATGCCACTTCCAGCCGACCTTCCAACTCTCAACAAAGACCTTCTGATTCTCACTGCGGCGTTATATGATGATGTCGATAGATACGCTCGGCCTCGACGACCCAACACCGTCCGCTCAGAAATTGGTTGTTTGCTACGAGGGATCTATAACAACACCATGTTTGCCATGTGGTGCTCACTTCAAACGGGCCCCACGTTCCAGCACAATGGTATTAAGACTGCTATCCATGCCCGCTTTATCATGAACGGTGATATGTCGCGCATCACCCCAGACGCTCCCAACGAAGAGTTGCCGTATCTTCTCTGGTACCCATCCATCCCACGAAAGTCGGTACTTCGAGAGCTATTCCGGCGTCAACCGACAATGAAGCCCGCAATTGCAAGAACTTGCATTATTGCTGACTACGAGGACCTCTACGATCTCCTCGATGTAGATCCGGATACCGAAATCATGTACGATGCTCGCGATAGCCTGAACCCCTACTATATCCAGGACTTGGAAGCTAAGATCCCTGATCGTGACTTCAGACCCTTCCCTCGCGGGATCACCTACGAGATACCACGAAAACCGAAAATGTTCGAATATCCACCCTCACACCTGTGGATAGACTTTGCAGATTCGGGCCCAGGCATTGAAGACGACAGCATATCCTACAATGGTAGTATCGTAAGATTCAACTCGCTACAATTGTCAGTATCGGCTCCAGAGTCGCTCAAGCAACTCGTTGCAGATACTCATTGTGCGATTGAGATTGATGAATATTATGACTCCCTAAGACATGAGATACAGGTCCACGAACGCCTGGGCAGCAACGAAGAAATCATCCCGCCTACCTGAGCTTCTGAATATAGGACTGGGGTGGCCTTCGCGAAAGAAAACAACCTTGAGTCTTACATCGCTACCCACCCGGAGCCAGAAGAGTCCATCAAGATAGACTGGCTTCTCTCTCTCACCAAGACTTTATCACATATGCACTCTCGCAGGGTGTTTAGTAGATAATATCTATCTCAGCAACATCTTGGTTATTAAAGATAAACTGAAGCTTACGAACTTTAGCGAGTCTATCTTGTTACCACCAACGGCTCAAATGGATACCGTATGCGAGGACGGTTTGACTGCTAAGATTGAGATCCTTCAGCTTGGTTGGATTATCTACTCGATTGCTACTTGGTGCGTTCATAATCATCGTTTCTTCAATCGGCTTAATACACCTTGGCCAATTCTTGAATCGTTTCCTTCTACCGATGATCTTTTCCGTGGCCTCATCATCGGAAAGTGTTGGCGTGCAGAATATGATAGCATGGATGCCTTGAATGAGGAAGCGCATTCTTCATTGCGGATTTCTAAGGAAGGCTTAGCCGAGATGAGAAGATATAGATATAGGCTGCATTTACTATGAGAAGAAACTGCGAGGAAAGGAGACAGGAACCAGAGAAGGCTGTCTCGGACATTTATATGTACAATTTTGACTGCTGTGATTTAGTCAGAGCCAGAAACTGGGTATAATCAGCAAATCAAGTATTTAAATGCTTATTTTCTGTCTACAGTCTCAGGATAGACATCACCAGCCGTCAAGCCCTGATATCAGGCCAATCCGGGGGCCAAATATCTACATACAAGCCTCAATCCACTCAAAACTCAAAGCATCTAGCTTTGACTTGATAAAATGAGATTGTTAACTCATACCAAGATACTTCCAGCTAGACTGAATCTATCAAATGTTCACAAGTATGCAATATCAACTCACCAGTTCACCTGACAACATAGACCATTTGACTAACAATCCAGCCTGATAGGAAAACCAAACCAACTCAATCCAATAATATCCAGCCCCTGAAATAAGGGTACATCCAGCATGACGACTGAAGAAAATCCCAACCAAATCCCGTCATCTACAACCGACACCTACAAAGAAGTCAAAACCGCGCGACCAACCCCAATTGAGCGCGACAACGGCGACTGCACATTGCAGGTCGATGACCGGGATTGTACGTTAGAGACCAGCGATCGAGATTGCACATTGGAGACCAATGGCCGGGACTGCACGCTCGAAGTCGACAGACGGGTCGATATTACCAATAAGGAAGCTGTCAATATCAACCACAACCAAGCAGATGAGAGCGGTGGTCCTGGGTTGAGTATTCCCGTGCAGCGCAAGCGGAGACCTCATCGGAAATGGTTTATTTGTGGTGTTAGTATTGCGGTTCTTTTGGTTATTATTATTGTGCCTGCGGTGATTGCTACGAAGCATTGAGTTGATGTGTATATGCGTTTTTGTTTGGATACTTCGACGAGGCTGGGCTGTTTGAATTGGGCATTGGATACTTCGATATTTTGACTAAAGCGACCTGGCCTGATGGAGAGGAAGTTATTTGATACCAACTTGAACTTACAGACGCTGGGTGATCATGATAGAGACGTTGCTTTTATTTTTGTCTCCCACTACAAGTCTAGGTGCCCGTTCAAATCAATCTGGCTGACATAGAGTAGGCAAGTAAGAAAGAAAATCACTTGAACATGCAGGTTCATGACTAGCTAAGAGCGACGAGGTACACGCACAAGAACCCGGATCGCCATGCATTGTATTGCTGTAGATGCAAACCTTGGAACACAGCTGCCGCATGTGAACAGATGAATCTATCCCATATACTACAGGACAACGGTTCATATCTCCACAACTTCCAAAGGCCCGAGGGCCACATCACAAACAGATACAACACAAATAGTAGTAGAAATGCGACTAAAGCATAGAGCTTTTTAGTTCGGCTTGGAGACAGTTGTGCCTCCCGAGACCACAAGTGGTCCATTGCTCACTGCTGGAATTCCATTGCTGCTGTATGTTGGTGCGGGGACCGAGGCTGGAGCGGGTCGGTTTTTCAGGTCAAAGTCGGAGGGGACTTCGGATGGCGGGGGTTTGGGAGGAAGATGAGCCGGGGTGCCCCATTTCGCGATCGAGTCTCGAGGACCGGTGGGCACTCGGTTGGGAACCATAGCTGGGGTTGGGTCCATGGGCCGGTTAGGGATAGGTTCCGGATACCCGTGCCATTGTGATTGCATACTAGGTTGCATGTTGCCATACGGCTGCATTGTGTGTTGACCTTTGTTCGGGTGACGCCCGGGAGGAGCACCGCCGGGGATGAATGAGCGGGTTTGCGGGTTGAAGTGAGATCTGGCATATCCTGCTTGCATTGCTGCGTGGGATCCAGCAGAATTTTGGAGACCGGGATTCATATGTTGCCCGGGGTATTGAGCATAAGGATATGCGCCCATATTGGACGGCATATTGGAGCTCATGTTAGGACCCATGTTGGTGCCCATGTTTGAATTCATGCTGGGTGGCATATTGGGAGCCATTGGCTGCTGAGGATAGTTGGGCCAGTGGACAGGCGGTCCATTCCGCTGGTGCGGGGACTGCTGGAAATTTGCGGGGAAAGGAGGCGAGTTCCAATTGGGGGTTTGTTGATATGGCGCCACATTGGGCACGGCATAGTTGTTCATTGCCGGCGAGGACGCGTTCGAGGACGGCTGGTTCATCATCCCTTGCTGGTTCATCGATGCGTACCCGGAATACGGGGACTGCTGCGGCATGTTTCCTTGCCACGAGCCATTGGAGGGCATCTGGGGCGACATTGCCACTGGATACTGGGAGACACCATTCATGTTCATGTTCGGCTGTGCAGGGTAAACAGCCCCATTCTGACCAGATGGCATGTAACCGACAGAGGGCAGCGGTACGCCAGGTCCGACCAAGTAAGGGACTTGGTTTGGGTACGAGCTGTCATTTACAGCAGCATTGTACTGAGTAGCACCATTTCCATATTGCACCGTTGGTGGGTAGTAGGTGCTGAACTGCGAGCGAACCTCAAAGCTGTCATCATGAGGAGTTCGCTGCCTCTGGCTCTTCTTGCGGCCGTTCGTCGAACTGGAGCGTGACATGTTGGGATTCGAGTCACCGCTGGCCGGATCCGACTTGGCACTGTCGGGAAAATCACGGAAGATTCGTTCACGAACTTCCTGGTATTTTGCCTCCCGTTCTTCCCTTGTCAAAGCCATTCGATCTTTAGCGGGCGTAGCGCCAGATGAAGATCCGTGGCGTTCTCCATCTGGTCCACTATCGCCATCTTCCGAGTTGGTTTTTGATAGGTTTGACGAACCTCCAATACTTCCTTCGAATTGCCCTCCATCATTTCGGCGCATGATTTTCATTGCCGGAACAGCTGGGGGTGGAGTGCTATTACAAGCAGCATGCACAGCAGACAAAGGAGTGGGTAGCCGGCAGAATGGTGTTCGATGAAGCCTGACCGATGTCACATTATTGTCGACAAAATGTGTTAAGTGATAGTAATCACCCAGCTTGTGTGCAAGAAGTCGCCCAAACGCGTTCGAGGGGGGCAACTCCAGGGATTGCTCAGTGCAGTCCTTGATAAAGTACCGAATCTTTTCCTCCAGTTGTAGGATCATCAGGCGATCTTTCGGTGATTTCATTGCCTCTAGGAGTTTTTCATCCGGCTCTAGGGGAAACCCATGTAAGATCTGACCATCTTCAATGCCATCGGAGTTGGCTGGAATCACGAAATTATTCGCGACTGAATCTGGAGGAATTGCACCATCCACAGGCTGGGTACCGTCAAAGAGAGGGGGGACGGGCAAAATGCCGCGTGGGCGCGTAGGAATGTCATCTCGATACTGATCCCGAAACACACGACTGCCGGCTTCGGAACCTGCCACTGAGTTTGGAGCCCCAGAAGCAAGTCCAGAAAGTGACTCCTCTTCGTCAATGGCTTGGACACTAGCACTGTCATCTGGACGTACAGAGTCCTTTTCATCCATTGCGAATGTCGTCACCGAGGCAAGACTCTTGGAATCGAAGTTGGTCATTTTTGTGGATGAGGTAGAAAGGTGAGTGCGATCATCTTCAAAAGAGTTCTCCCGCTTGAGCAAGCCATTGTCTTGGCCACCAATGAAAGAGCTTGAGCCATCATTGTGCTTCTTCAAGGTGAGGCCGATATCTTGTACGCCTTTCCCAAGATCATCAACAGCTAGATCAATGGAACTAGCCTCTGGCGTTTTATCGAGAGTATGCTGGCTGGGCAAATCTGCACCGGAGCCATTTGCTTCTGAGCAGGGTGGTTGTTCTGCTGGCTGGCATATTTCGTTATCATCAGATACCGAGGAAGAATGTGGGTTGTGGGGTGCGGGCATAGCGGCAATCTTGACATGGAATTAGCGACAAGCCACGAGGCAGTGGAACGAAATCTTGACTTACCTTTGCAAAGGAGAGAGGGCCGTCTCCGCCTGGGGGACTTTTTGATGCCATGACAACACTCCGCGGGATGATCGGTGAAACTCTTTAAATTTCACAAAAGAAAAGAAATCCGAGATCAAGTCAAGCAGCGGCCACACTCAGCACGCTTCGGATTCGCAGATTTGACGAAGATCGAAGTTTGTTTGATTGAAAGTAAAGTCGCTGCGTAATTTCGTTTCACACAAGCCCAAAACGAAAGACATATCTCTGGGGTAGGGCAATCGCCATGGAGAAAACTGTGAGAAATGCGCATTAGCACTATGCATGGTGAAACGTAAGGAGATCCATAGGCTCAACGAAGAGAAATCTCCACTTCAACGAAGCAAAAGATCTAGGCAGATCAGGTAACGGTGCCTTACATGATATCAAAGCTGGCTCATCGTCAGGGAGAAGACCTCGTACTGAGTTTTGAGGGGATGCTCCAGATCCGGTGGATATTTGAAGAGCCGATCAACTCTATATCATCCGTCCGAGATGGATGACGTGAAGGTTGACAATGAACTCCGAGATCGAGAAGGAGCGTTGGAAATCCGAATTCTGACTTCTTGATTGCCTGAAGATTCGTGGGCATTATGCCGCGCCCGACCGCCCTTGGCGCGCGCCTACAATTTCCCTTAGGCTTCAGAGGTTAACAGCCGCCAACTTGCGCCGATCAGCTTTACATCGCATTTTACCTTTGTTTCTGACATTGGGCGTGTTAATATCCCTATTTTGGACTTAAAGTATCCGATAGTCTAGCATTATACTATAACCTACAACATCACGAGCTCCAATGAACCGATATCGAAACGCCCCGAAGCTCGGAGGCTCCAACTCCAACAAGGCCACCGCGACCACACTGTGCCAAAAATGCCTCGGACGAGATATGTGCACTCTTTCACTTACTCTTCAGAAGTTTGACTAACTCCAATCCACGACACTATAGTTTTGATTGCAAGGCGTCTGCGCAAGAGCGCCCATACGTCCCGCGACCTTCAAGAACTCAGCAGCTATTGAACCCAGAATTGATGCCCAAGCTTTCCAGCGAGAATCCAAATGAGCTGCTGCGGAAGTAAGTTCGGATCATTGTCATTTCTGCACTTTTTTTTGGAGAATACTCGCTGACTTGTATGAAGAGAGGGTGTTGCGGACGAACTACTTGCTACCCGGGAGGAAGAGCGCGGCCGGAAGAGAGACCTTGAGGATATGACAGATCGCAACGCTCAGTCTCCGAAGCGGGCCAGGTCCCTCTCAGTGGAAACAATATCCACAAATCGATCCTATTCCTCATCTCCCCGCCGTAACAAACACGGCACAGCCGACAGAGGTCGTCGAGATGATTCCTCAGAACCACCTACAAAGTCCCGAAAGAGACGCTACAGTGATTCTACAGAGGGTTCTTCCGGGTCAGTCCATTCAGGACCAAAGGACCGCTCACCCTCCCCGGAGCGCACCGACGACCGAAACACTCGGCGACGGAGACGAGAATCTAGTCCCGATGAACGAGGTCGGCACCGTGGAGCAGGAAGACGTAGCGAGCGAAGAGACCGCCGAAGCAAGAGTGTGGATAAGGAGCGAGTGAAAGAATCACGTGCTACGACTCAGGATGTTCCACGAGACCGTTCATACCGTGATCGAGTAAGCCCACCACGCCAGTCTCAATCTGGACGGTCTAGGCCTGATCCTATAACGCAGAAGAGCCAACCTCCTCGTGAACGAAGCCTGAGTCCTTTCAGTAAGCGCCTTGCTTTGACTCAAGCCATGAATAACAGACGTTAAATTGAAATGAAAACACTGCTTTGCAAAATTGGGGCGTTTTTACGGCGCAAAATCTTCATGGGGGACATGGTGCCAATTCATGTTCCATCGGTATATGACCAAGTGTATCATTAGTATCTCCATCTTGGAGTTTGAAAATATCTGTCACTCGACAGCGGAACCCCCCAAAAAAATCAATAATGATTTCTGAACAACACTAAGATACACATGCTCATTGAGAACCTAAAGTTGTAAACCTCCTAACGCCTCATTTTTGTGCGCAATATGCCCATGGCATCAATTGGACGCCTCAACCAAGACAACAAAAAGAAAAAGGAATAAGTTAAATGGAATATAGACAATTACAGGTGGAGACAGAAGACCTAGACAACGCTCGCATTCCTGCAACAAAGGGTATCACGTTCAAATCGTTTCTTCGTCGCTCTTCTCTTCCTCTCGCTCGCGCATATGGATGCCCTCAACGAGCGTCTCACCCTCCATACCCACTTCCTCTCCCTGGTCATCTCCATTAGACTTGGGCCCACGTGCCTTCGCAGCACGCTGCGCATCCTCTACCCGCTGTCGCACAAGCCGGGCAATTGCATTGTCCGTTCGTACATCGAGAATCTTGAGCTTTTCGTTCAAATCGCGCTTCAGATCCCAGTTGGGTTTCTTAGGTTGTAGTTTGAACAGATCGATGGGTTCGTCGGCACCTGCGTCCTTCTTGGCCTGTTCTGCTGTGGCCTTTGCAATTTCAGCTGCCTGTGCCTCCAGCGTCACCTGGCCCTCTTGCGGGCCTTGCTCGAAGCCTAGTTTAGGGCCGCGGGTCTCGGGGTCGTAGTTGCGGCCGGACAGATATTTTGTGGTTACATCTGGTGTGGCGTCGGCGTCGGGCAGCTCTTGGTCTTCTGTGCTGGCCTCATGTGTGTCTTGCTCGGGTTGCTTGCGCTTCAGAGCTGCGAGCTTGGCGAGCCGCGCTTTGCGGTCGATGGATGCCGCATCAAGATTGGCATGGTTTGACGACATGTTTTCGAGTGAGGGTTGAACTGATAATGGAGAGGATATCTGGGCTTGAGGAATAGGAAGTAAAGTGACTGAAGTTACCGGAAGAAAATCCCAAGCTCCTCCGCTGCTTGGAAGTTGAAGGACGATGGAGCCGATAAAAGTAGATGTGGTGCGCCACACACTAGCCACGGCAAAATCGGGCGGAATGGCGGAATTCAACTTTCTGTCCGGCATTGGACTTTGACTTCTCTCTCCACGCGCCATACTTGACTTATTTTTCTTGGTTTTGGTCTTTCCCCCACAAATGTCTGCGAATACAAGCTCCTGAATGTCATCGTGTCCACACCAACTCGTTCGGTCCCGTCTCAACGGGTTGCTCTCACAACAATGTCGGACCCCAGGCCGATTGTATCGGGAGTCGGGGACAGCGAATGTCGGTCATAGAGTGCGCCTCTCCACATACAATGCTCCAGCCATCCTAGAACCTGGCATGACGCATGATGCTCCTGACCCCATATCATATCAACACAACCGCGATTCAACTGACAGTTCACATCCGCCGACAAACGAACAATCAGATCAGGTCGCGACAACTCGGTATGACATGGGCGATGGCCGATCAAAACCTTCACCCCAACCACGAAGATCACCACAGACACCGATTATAACGAATGATAAAATGAAAAAGGTCGCCTACGTGCGACATGCTGATCCCAAGCTTGTGGCCATGGCGGCCGAGAGAGTCAACCGCGAGATCTTAAATAAGGGTAGACATTTGACCGATCGAGGGTTATATCTGGCGCTTGCGATGCGAATGAATTCGCTATACACGCGTGAGCTAGGACTCCGTCAGTGGAAGGAGGCATACGGAGCCATTCACAAGGCCACGACATATGGCCGTGAGGTCTTGCACAAATCTGCATTGCCAAAGCTGAGAGAAGATGGTGAGCAACTGCTAGGGGTGCTTCTTGATGACTGCCAAGGCAAATTTCGAGAAGCATGGTTGGCAATGAACCGTTCTACCAGGGCCTGGGCCTGGCAACGCCTGGCCATTTGGCTGCTGCAAAATAACCCGGCAATGGCCTTGGAGTTTTTACTCGTCACAACCGAGCCACGAGATAAGCCGGACTTGACTATGGTCGTCGATTGCTTGACATACTTGGAGAAATTTCACTATGAAGAGCTCCGGGATTGGGAGAAAGGTGCCCACACATTTGAATCAGTTGTTGCAACTACCCTGGACCCGAAGGACTGGCCCATTGTCTCGCCACCACAAAAGGGTATTCGGTTTTATATTCGCCGAGCAGGCTTTTTAGGTGTCTACGAGAGTTTCCGTTTAATGAACGAGCGAGGCATTACGATGGAAGCGCAAACAGCACTTTGCTACATGTACCGATTCACACAGCTGAATGACGTCGAATATGCCCTCAGAGCCCTCGAATTCATTCCCAAAATCAACGACCCTGAATTTTCTATGGACTCTGAAGGAGTCCTCCGGCACTGTTGCAAGCTCCTGACCCTGGACACTGTTGAGGATAAAGCTGGAGCACGCAATTTCCGGATCCTCCCACGGCTTCTCAAGATGGGTGTCCAGCCAGACCGGGACATGATGAATCTCGTGCTCGCCAATGCTTACAAAACCGGCGATCCTCAATTGGGCTCGGACATGCTTCAGTTCATGAAGAATCACCACCACGAATTCGATTCTTATACATACTTGACTCTCCTTACTGATGCGGTATCTCGAGGCGACCGGGGTCGTGTGGACGAGTTGGTGCGGGAAGTCGAGATGAAAGAGGAGCTACGAAACAACCCCTACATTTTCAGCAAAATCTTCCACGCCCATTTCACTTTCACCGCCAAGCATATTGACCCCGAGAGTGATCCCTCGGGAGTTTTCTACTCTATGCTCGACATGTACAACAAGATCCACGACATCACACCGCTCAAAGAACTCCTTTTGCTCCCCCCCCAATATACACAGCCGCCAACTCAAGGACTTGAAGTCAAAATCCCACCTTCTCCGGTATCCCTGTTCCTTATGATCGCAACATTCTTCCGCTGTAGGAATCGGATCTCACAAGTGCATCACATGTATGACAGATTCCGCGAGCTCGTGCAGCAGGGCCACCCATCCATCGCTCCTCTGGTCGAAACCGACCACGTCTATAATGAATTCCTCATCGCCTTCCGCAAGAGCAGCCGTGGACTGCGGTCGAGCATACGTCTCGTCGAAGACATGCTTGACACATCTGCCATGCCGAAAGAGACTACTGCTGGTAAGCCTCTCACGCACATCTCGCCCACACCTCGTACTTGGACCATCCTCCTCAGCGCCTTCAATTACAGTCGCCAGCCCGATGCAGCCGAGAAAGTCAAGGAGATGATGGCTAAGCACGACGTGGAGTACAACCAGGTGACTTGGAACACCATCATCAACGGATTCGCGAATGCACAGGATATTCCTGAAACCGCTAATGCAATCACGAAGATGGAAAAGGAAGGATTCGCCATTGACCACTACACAATGAAGAGTTTGCGTTATCTCCGTGACCCTGAACGCCTCTGGGTGGCGATCGAGGAGATGGATGAGGGCCTCGATTCGCATGGAGCCCATAAGCTTCTCGCCCTCGAGCCTGCATCTGATGTGCACAGTGATCAGCAGGAGCGCGACGAGCTCATTGACAGTGGCTTGGAGAAGTTGGAGTCAAAGTTGAAGCCCAAGATGTAGGATAGGATACCCTTTTGTCTTTTATTGTCGCCTTTTGTGGGCTAAGCAACCTGTAAGCATTTTGGACGCACTGGTGTTGAAGAAGTGGCTTTGAACTTTTTTGTATATTTGGATATCATGTACTATACATTGCATCATCATGAACTTGTTGTTCGTTTGAACCTCTTATTGCATCTGGGAACTGTCACATGGAGTGGAAATAGTAATCTCGTAATCTTCACTCTCAAGTTACTTGAGGTTTGATTGTCACGAAGTCGGAGACTACTACAACCCATTGATGCCCCATGGAAACTCTCCTCTTCAAACACCCATTGAGAGTCAAGCAAAGTTAACCACCGAAGAAGATCGAGACCTGCATGCAACATTAGTATCTCTCTTCATACATCTGGACTTGCGGAGTAAGGAACTTACTGCCATCACAACACAACATATGCTGACATACGGGCTAAGTCGCTCTCCGACTCTAGCACATTTCCAGAATATCCCAAAGACTCTGCATTTAATCGTCAGTCTTCCCATCTTTCATCACCGGATCCGCCTCAAATGAGCACATACCCATTCTGGTTCCGGTCCATGATCCCTGGCATTATCGAGTGTGCATAGCTGCTCGTGCAGATGATCAAGAGGATCACAAGGAGCAACGACTGAAAGTTGAAAAGAGCAGACTAGGTGAGTGTGACAGTTAGCACATTGTGATCATATTGTCATTGTGTATTGTCATTGTCATTGTGGTTCCAACGCAAACGCAGAGTCGCATGTGCTCCCCACCACAATACAAGCAGTCCCCATCAATTTAACCATTTGCAAAAACTCACCATTTTGTGCAGTGAAATCTTCGCCCGTCACCTTGGGCAAAGAAGCAGAGCGACAGTAAGTTGCCAGGTAGCTTGCATGTGCCAAGTTGCTAACCAACCCCAGTCTAGCATATTCTGCCCGTCATGTCCGCCAAGCGCACAGACCAAACGCCCAAGCGGGTATCGTTTTCCCTGCCGGGCCAGAGCCCAGCTCCGCTACCTTCCACACCAACTCAACGTGTGCCTTCATACACTGGGTTGCAAACTCCGGAATCGTCAAGTGCGACCCCAAACGCGCGCTTCCAGACTCCAAACACCGTCTCGCCAACTCCAAACCGTCGCTTGCAAACCCCGAACACATCCTCTCCAACTCCAACCACTCACCTTCAAACTCCAAACACCGTCACACCAACTACAAACCGTCGCTTGCAAACCCCGAGCAGCTCCTGGTCGACTCCGAAAACTGCTTCGCTCAATCCGCCTCGCCGGCCTAGCTCTAAACATCTTGTCTCCACCCTCCTACCCAACTGGAATTTCAATGAGCAAGACACAGCGTTAATCCGTGCCGGATACGAACCTCAGTGGACTCCCAAGCCACTTGACACATCTACCTCAAGCGAAAAGGGCAAGAAAGATTCCGCAACCAAGTCCGCCATGGCTGAACCACGTGCACGTATGGCCCGCCACAAGGGCCAAATGAACTTCCAGAATGAGCGTAAGTTCCTGCAGCCCACAAACATCTGATCAAACCAATATCAATACTAATCTATCTCTACAGTCCGCCTGCTGCTTCTCGCCTACGGCGACCCCAGCCCACACCCAAGTTTCCCAAACGAACCACTCCCCGAGACAGTCCGTGTTCTGGACGAAATTGTCACCGACTTCGTGCTAGAAGTTAGCCACGGCGCCGCGCAAGTCGCACACCACGCCCGCCGTCAGAAGATCAAAGTTGAGGACTTCCGCTTCGCACTGCGTCGCGACCCGAACAAGCTCGGTCGTGTCCAGGAGCTGCTGCGCATGGAACGTGAATTGAAGGAAGCCCGCAAGGCATTTGACCAGAATGATGATCAGGTTGCCAAGGAAGCTGGAAAGAAGGGCGCTGCCGCTGCCGCGGCCGCTGCTGCTGCTGGTGAGGATCCTGTGGCTGCTGAAGCTGCTGCTTCTGCTACTGTTAAGAAGAGCAAGGGCAAGGGAAAGCGAGGTGCCCGCCGTGGATCCGATGCTACTGAGGAGTCGGTTTCGAAAAAGCGCAAGACCAATGGCTGAATATGTACCCCTAATCACCACCACCTACTGCTGTTGTGGGTGGGTCTACGGGTCACGATGAACATGACTTAATGCCCAACGTGTGTTTCTTTTCTAAGCACATATGTACTATTACTTTTTAGCCTTGAAATAACCAGAATTTAAATGGAAATGGATACTCAAATTGCCAATGCCCACTTCGTTTATTACAAGAAAGCTAAGACCAACATCATTCGTCCAGTACGTCTTCTCATCCCGAGTCTCTACAAATGTGCTGTCGTGATCAACCACTGGGACACACCGAAGCCTTCACCGCTGTAACCAGTGTAAAAGACCAAAATTCCACGGCACTTAGAACGATACTTACATAATGTAGTTCCTCACAGCGTACAGCTCTAGAGTCCACGGGTATCAGACTATATACATACATTTGTTCCTGGTCAAATTAAAGTAATCAAGCTTTGGGCCTATCCGCCTTCTCCACAAACATCTCCCGTAGATTCTAGGACGGGCTACCATCCTAGCTACGGCCTAGACTAACAAAAATCTCACCAACTTCGACCTCACCTCACCTCGCTTCACCTCACCTTCAAATGAAATCTCACCATGCTCAACTGCCACTCCCAACTTGATAATATCTCCGACCCTGGACGAGTCTCTCTCCCAAAGCCCGACACTACTTGGTTGGTTTTGAGACTTGGACTGGCAAAAAATAAGACAAAATAATACCTCCCAACACCAACATCAGAGCAATACTGGATATAAAACATCAATCACACCGCCGACTGCAATAAACTGGCCCAATGGATGTTCTACATAAATGAACGAGAGCGTGCGGACCTACCATATCACCACGTCATCAAATACGACGACAACGGCGACTTCGTCACCCCACCGGCCGACATACGTCTGTCAAATGCACTGGGTTTCCTGGTAACTGCTACCGACACCCCAATTCTACACCCCGATTCCCGGTCGCCATGCAAGGTGGCCTGCGGATTTCAGCCCCATGGGTGCTATCTATCCCGAGAGATGGTCAGTCGGTCTCCCAGTTGTCATGTGGGCTTTCCGAATCGTATTCCTGCCGGTGCACGGCGACTATTATCTGTTGTGCGGGACTCCTCTTCGACACTACAGCAAGAGCTCCCTCTTGGTACCCTGATCGGATGATATCAGGATTCAGGAAATCTTCCTTCGCAACTACCTTCTTGGAGGTATAGTCCTCTAGGAGATCTTGCGTCATATGCAAGAACAAAAGCCATGACATGGTGTACCAACATACCAACAGCACTATCCACCGTGTATTCTGCCTCGGAAACATTCGATGCGGATTCCCTGAAAACTAGACACCTAGCCAACTAACACAGCAATGGGGTCTCGACTTTCTCTCAGATAGTGATTCCCCCCAAAGCCATATTGTCAGCACCCAAGCCAGGTCGCTATTTGAGCTCCCAGGGAGAGAAAAACACAGGACATTCCTCGGTAGACGAGCAGCGAGGCAATCAAGACACCCATTCTTCCTATCTGGCACATAAGGAAACGCCCACCCAGCCGAGCTCAGCCCCCGTCTTTCTACTCTCAACAACGGGGAATTAGGGACCGTCAACATGACATGCACAAGAGGACGACGAGGAGCGTAACGACGAAGCTAGAGAAGTTGAGTCTAAGCGGCATAGTGATATATCGTATATCGGCTTGAACCGGAGGCTAGAACAAGCACGCGATTTCATGACAGATGAATTTATTTATCATTGGGCTCGTTTGATATCTCGTACTCTTCCACTGGAGCCTCGTACTCGTTCTTGATTGTCGCTCGTTGATATGATTGAAACGAACTCCTGAAACTAGATCACGATCCTTTTGTATAATTGTAGTGATACTTGGTCCTTAGCTTTGAAATCCCAGTATCAATCTAAACTACAAGGAGGTATGGATAAACAGCCCATCAGAACAGAACCGGAACTACTGCTTCGAATGGCAAAAAATAGCAAGGAGATTAATTCTGTAGTTATCGCCATTAATGGCCTAATCCCCCGGGCATGAACAGTGGCAAACATCTATAGTGTCAATGTTACTCTCCATACTTTACTTCGTTCGGCTTGTGTTTACTTAGAACCTTACAGGGCTAGACTAATGGAGGTACTAACTTATATAGGTGTTATCATGTGACTGCGTTCGATTTTATATTCTTTTCCTTTCTCCAGATCAAATGCCTTTTCGCCAGAATGTCGGACTTTTTTATTACCACGTCAGACCTGTTCACTGGCCTGTCAGACCAGGAGCGCCATGACCAGGACGGCATTATCCGGCTGCAAGAAAAGCGAGAAAGGAAGCTCCTTCAAGCCATCCGCAAACACAATATCGCCAAGGTCAACGCACTCCTCGCAGATGGTGTTCCACCTGATGGCAGCTCAGAAAGAGCCCCGTTGCAGCTCGCCGTTCAATTAGGCAGACGCGAAATTATGCAACTACTCATCCAATACAACGCCCAGTCTCCGAGCAACCCCGGTCCCGACTCGGATGACGACGAGTTGCTCACAGCGGCCGGCCGGGGCCGCGTGGATATCCTAAAGATGCTCATGGATTACCGCAAGAAGCTGGGCTATAAAGGCACTGCTTGGCCAAGCCATCAAGGCGACGAGCCCATTCACCGTGCTGCCAGTTGGGGGAACTTGGAATGTCTGAAGCTATTGGTGCAGGAGGGTGCCACGATTAACCTTGAGAATTCACATTGGCAGACACCATTACATCTTGCTGCTAGTCTTCCGACTGGAGTGAAGAATGGATTGCCGGTTCTGCGGTTTTTACTCGCATCAGGCGCAAATGTCAATGCATTGACCACTACGGGTAACACGCCCATTTTGATGGCAGCTCGTGCTGGTAATGAGGCCGCTATTGAGGAATTACTCAAGTCATCGCCCGATCTTCGCCAAGAAGGTCAATTTGGAGAGACGGTTTTACTTGTTGCTGCCTCACATTGTTCTACGAGAACGGTGCAGATGCTCGTTGCGGCGGGTGCTGATATCCACTTTCGGACTCAGTTCAATGCTTCTGTTTTACATCTAGCAGCCGAAGCTGGCAAAACCAAGACCTTCAAATGGATCCTCGATAACAGCAACCTCACCATTAACGACCTCGACTGTCATAACTGGACGCCGCTACATTATGCTGCGTGCAAGAATCAAGTGATAATGGCCAAGTACTTACTTGAAAATGGAGCGGATTCATCAATCGCATCAATCCCAGGAGATCATACCCCTCTCCATCTGGCAGCTGCTTATATCGATAGCCACAGCCACAGCCCCCAACAAGATGACGCACGGGACGATCCATCTTTAGTTGAGTACCTCATTCAATATGGCGCTGATGTGATGGCACCGGGAGACAGTATAACTCTGCGCTTTACGGAATGGATCCCAAAGGCGTCTCGGACAAATAAGTACGCGAAATCGGAGGGAAATACGAGCCGATCTAACACCATCTACCCGCTCCACTGTGCCGTCGTGAGCGGTGCCATCCAGAGGGTAAAAACGCTTCTATCCGCCGGCGCAGATATTCATGCCCGCACTGCCCCAGAGGGAAAGACAGCGCTTCACCTAGCTGCGAATAATTCACTCCGGAAAATGGTCCTTTTCTTGATCCAGAGCGGCCTGGACTATCGGCTGACTGATACTGAGGGACACACGATGGTCCACTATCTCGCTCTCGCAGGACTATACGAGCCCGTGAGTGTGAAGGAGTTTCTTGTCGCCGAGAACCTTTATGATCCCTCGATGGAAGCTGAGCTTATTAGACTTGGACCTGTCGAATAGTCGCCGTATAATACTGAGACCAATTTTGTTTTTGTAGAATCCAGATGAGGAATGATCCGAGCATGTTATGCAGTATATTGTATAAACAACAGAGAAGCAAACTAAAATAAACATACTGTTGTTACTATTACCATACGATCATATGGTTGTCTCGTGTGTATGTACTGTCGTAGCCATGGCTGGAGTAGTAAATGGGAAATACGAAGAAGCTCTAGAACTTTTATGTCCATTTCATCATAACTGAAAACGCCGCGCCTAGAAAGATGCGACTTCGTAAACCGGAGAGATCGACTCTCAGCAGATCCATCTCTCATCTTCAACAGTCTAGACTCATCACCCCCGAATATTCTCTATCGAACGGTAACGACATCGTCACCCTCATCAACCACACGTTATACCAATTTTATTGATATTAAATTGGTCTCAACACCATGACACCACGTGCTGAATACCGTCTTTGGACGTCACAACAAGCCGAGTCCGGAGGCCGTTGACGGGGCGTGACCAGGCCGCAGTCCGTGAGCTCCGGAGAGAACATGTAAGCCTCGCGAGGAAAAAAAAGAGGAAGCCGGAAAAAAGGAAAAGGGAAAAAGGGAAGAAGGTGGTAGAGGGATAGTAAACAAAGAAGCGAAAGACCCAAAAGTAATAACGTCAGGGAGGGGTGAGATAGAAAGGGAAGAGAACGCGAGACGAGATATCGACGTTCACTTGAAGGGGAGTGCTCCTCTCGCAATTGGTCACATTATGCATCAGCGTTTTTTGCTGTGGGAAACCTCTCATGCGCGGGCTTCCTCGGTGCGGTCCTGGCGGGGGCGGCCGCCTTGGTTGTTCTTGCCGCCACGCTGGTTGCGCTGGTTATCGCCGGTGGAGGGACCTTCGGCGCCAACGCCGCTGCCGAGGGTAAGCTGGGCAGTTGCTAGGCGAGTGGAAAGCTCCATCTGTGTGCGCACGGTGTTGGCAAGGTAAGAAACGACCAGGACATCCTGGATGTGGTTGTTGCTGTGGAAAGTTAGTGATAAGCAACATCAGAAAATATAAGGCGGATTCAACGTACAAGTCACGCTCAATGTCGGCAGGCTCGACCTTGGGAGCGAGAGCGAGAGCGTTAAGCAAGAACTGTCCCATAGCAGTGGAAGCGGGGGTCTCCTCGTCGATCACGGACTCGACGTAGCGCGAGACGCGGTCAACCATGGACAGAACCTCCTCAATGGCGCGCTCGAGAGACTCAATGTCGGAAGTAACGGAAGTGGAACGATCCTCGGCATCCTTGGCGTTGGCGATAGACTCAAGACCGCTCTTGTCGGCCTCGCCGTATCGGAGCTCGTAGGGAACGGGGATGAAAGCAGCGCTGTCGGCAGCACGCTCAGCGGTGACACCAACGGGGGCGGAAATGTAGGCGCGGGTCTCGAGATCCTTTCCAGCCTCGGTGGAGACAGTCAGGTGGACGGCGGGGTGAGGCCAGGTACCATCACCCTGGCCGCTGTAGAAGTTTTGGATCAAGGCGGAGAAAGTGTTGAGCTCGGAAGCAGTGGCGTACCAGCCAACCAAGACTTCGCGGGGGTTGGCCTTCAGGTGCAAAGCCAGCATCTGCTTGTGGTATTCCATATCGACCTCGACCTGATCCTCAGCCTCGGAGTGGCCGACGGCGAAGGCGGATCGGACCTCGACCTCACTTCCATCCTCAGATCGTGTTCCGAGCAGTGTACCGATGACACGCTCTTGGTCGACATTGCGGCGAAGAGAGTGATCGAGAACTGAGAAGATTGCCTGGAGGAGGAATGAGCTTTACCCCTCAGATCATACACATCGCAACATACCTGGGGTTGAATGACCACGTTCAGAGGGGCAGTGGTAGGAGCGGTCCCCACGCTAACGGGGCCGAGGGGGCGAGCGAGATGAAGGAAAGAATCTTCGGCCATGATTAATTTTGAGATGGATGGAATATCTTGCAAGTTTCAAGATCCAAACTTCAGCCTTTCTCGGAGGTTCAATTTTTCCTTGAAGTGGAGTGAGCCGCTCTGATTGTTCCGATTCTGTTGTGTGTGGGAAATTTCGCGCTAAGATAAGATAAGGAAATTCTCATTTTGGCCGCTGTCATGGAACCCGACTCTTTTTAGTTCTTCATACACAAATATGCCTGCTCCTCGTGGTGGTTCTTTTAGAGGAGCTCGAGGCCGTGGTGGCCGTGGTGGTCGCGGCGGTCGTGGTCGTGGTCGTGGTGGTCGTGGACGTGGTGGTCGCTCCTTTGCCACGTCGCGATTGAATGAGTCCGAGTAAGTTCTTGGAGAAAAAAAAGTCTTGAATGACTATATCTAATTGGTACTAGATCGGATAATTCTTCTGGAGAGGATGATGCTAGCGTGCAATCCGAAGAGGAATTGGTTGATGATACCCAAATGGACGAAGGCTCCAGCAGCGACGAAGACGAGAATACCGAACGCCCCTACAACGAACTCCTCCAGCTACTTCACACCAATGAGTCAAATGGACCAGCTCGGAAGAAGCGCAAGATTGCCACCGACTCCAATGCTGATGTTCAAATGGCAGAATCCGCCGAGGAACCAGAGCAGGCAGATGATGACTTGGAAGCCCAAGCCCCATCTGACGATGAAGAGGAAGAGGTAGACGAGGATGAGGACCAAACCGCTGCTTTTGAGAAGCACTTCGATCTCCGCGAGAGTGCAGATTTGACCAAGCAGATTGAGCCTATTCAATCGAACAAATGGGCATCCGTCAAGAAAGAGGTGGATGGGCTACGGCTGGTACATACTGTTCCCGACACAGGAGCAAACAGCGCATCAATCCTTCCGCCATTGAAGAGCACAACCAATATCAAGGTATGCGGAGCAGACATGGATTTTATGTTGGCTCCAGTACTAACATGCAATCGCGCAGCTTAAACAAAAATTGAAGGCTCGTGCGGCCGAGCTCCTGCCTAAGATCACCGGTCAAGCCCAGATCATCGCGCCATATGTGTTCGACTACCAAGACGTTCTCTACGGTGCCCGCACTGCTTCCAATGCAAATGAGATGCGCGAGATACTCGCTTTGCACACCGTCAACCACCTGCTGAAGACCCGAGACCAAGTCCTCAAAAACAACGCCCGTCTGGCCAAGGACCCGGACACCGACATCGAGTGCCGTGACCAGGGATTTACCCGACCCAAGGTGCTCTACATTCTGCCCACCCGACAGGCATGTGTTAAGGTTCTCGATGCGATCACTCGGATCTATCAACCCGAACAGCAAGAGAACAAAAAGCGATTCACCGACTCGTTCTCGGCGCCAAATGATGAACAGTGGGAGCACAAGACTGAAGACTTCAAGGAGCTCTTCGGCGGTAATGACGATGACATGTTCCGATTGGGTCTCAAGTTCACCCGCAAGACCGTCAAATATTTCGCGCAATTCTACAGCTCCGATATCATCCTGGCCAGTCCACTTGGTCTGCGCACGATCATGGACCAAGCAGACGTCAAGAAGCGCGACCACGACTTCCTCTCCTCAATCGAGCTGGTAGTCGTCGACCACGCCGACGCCCTCCTCATGCAAAACTGGGATCACGTCGACTACATCTTCCAGCACCTGAACTTGCAGCCGAAACAAGCACACGGCTGTGACTTCGGCCGCGTCCGCAACTGGTACCTGGATAACCATGCGCGCCACGTCCGACAAACTGTAGTGGTCTCATCCTGCATCACCCCGGAGATCAACGCTCTCTTCTCATCCCAGATGCAAAACGCCTCGGGCCGCCTCAAGGCAACCCCCACCTACGCCGGCGCCATCACCGAGCTCCCGCTCCCAGTCCCCGTCAAGCAAACCTTCACACGCATCGACAGCACGTCACCTATTAAAGACCCCGACGCGCGCTTCAAGCACTTCACAACAACCATCCTGTCTACCCTGGTGAAGAACATCACACACGGCCGCGGCAAGGGCGGTGCCGGTACCCTCATATTCATCCCCTCGTACCTCGACTTTGTCCGCGTGCGAAACCACTTCGCCACCTCTACACAGACAACCAACGTCGCCTTTGGCGCCATCTCCGAGTATACCGAGCCGAAGGAGGCTAACCGTGCCCGCAGTCATTTCGTGTCTGGTCGCCACTCTGTGCTGCTGTATACCGAGCGTGCGCACCACTTCCGCCGTTACCAGGTCCGTGGTGTCAAGCGTGTGGTCATGTATGGGCTTCCAGATAACGCGCTGTTCTATAGCGAGATTGTTGGATACTTGGGTCTTGATCCTGCGGAGTTGATTGAGGCTGCTGAGGGTGGTGTGCGTGCGCTATTCTCGAAGTGGGATGCGCTGAAGTTGGAGCGTATTGTTGGTACGTCTAGGATTGGCAATATGTTGCGGGAGAAGGGAGGTGATACGTTTACTTTTGTATGAATATAGCTGTATGCTTTTCTAGGTAGATATTATCTTAGTCTTATGGATTATTCTCTCATACCACTTTACCTGTGCTGTTATCTGTTATATATGGAAAAGTCGGTTTTTTGTACATTTTATTATTTTTTAACGGCCTATATTCGATATTTTGGCTTTCTATTATTTCCATCCTTCTGACTATATAATACTGGCATATGAAAAAAGACCACTGAAAAGACATGTCAAAGACTATCATGTTTGTATTGATATGATTTCTTGCTGCCTCTCAAAGTTCCCGTCGAAGCTGCATCGGTCCAAGTCTAACAGTGTAAGCCTTAAATTACTATACCCAGACTCACTACCTCTATTGATCTCAAAGGGAGATATATCTGAATATGGGGCGAGAGATATGTGATTTAGACTCGGATTTTTATGCGTAGACTGGTTAATACAACCTCTCTAAGTGGTGCCTCTAGGAATATCAGATCAGAAATCTTCATCACCATTGAGACCAAAAGAAGCCCATGTTGGTTTATCATATCGAGAGCCTCTCCCACAACTTCTTCATTTCTCTCTCACTCCATTCACCTTGAATCCAACATACTGTTTGTTTCCCCTTCCTCTTTATTGAGACCTTACAACATCAACCATTCTCATCTACTTAGATTTTCTCATCTCCATTCATCCAGCCATCGTGCCAGCCACCATAATGGCTGTGAAAATAATCACCGAGAGTATCTGGTTTAGCCATGAGATACATCTGGTTAAAGATGCCGGCCTCATCCAAGTAAGTAGAGGGTTCAGCCCAAAGTAAGCACTGCATGAATGACTTCATCTTGCATATTCATTCATTGTTGACACAGTTGGGATTAAACCGATTTCTAACATTTAATATCAGATGGAAGGAATCATCACCGTTGGACCTAACACGCAAGTGGACGTCAAGAGCCTTTCCTTCGATGGGAATGAAGTCGGAGGATTCAGCGGCATCGTCACTGACGGATTACGGTTCCGATACCCAGTCAATATTCCGAATATCAAAGGATCTGTCACTTTTGATTTGGATCACAAGTCGGTTTGTGTTCATATCAATGTGACTAGGAAGAATGGAAAGTGTGTTGATTTGTACCATCCGGTTGCCGTTGACATTCTTTGGTAGGATGGGGTTGCATCATTTGTTCGAGGGAAAGTGGGTGGAGTGAGGAGATCTCCATATCTAGAGAATGCATGATCAAGCTGTCGTTGACCTGATTTACAACATAAATCTGACAACTCTGTAGTCTACTATGTTGTATGTGGATAGCCCTGAAGGGCCCCGCGTTATAGACAATCTTACGTAGCTCAACGTCACGTGTACCCAGTTATTCCCAAAGTGGTAGGCGGTATAATTATGCCACAAACAGAGGTTACATTGAACTGAACGAATATACCGTTCGCCCTTCGGGGCATATGGTCAACTGAAAATATACAGAGAAGATTAGCATGGCCCCTGCACTAAGGATGACACGCTCAATCAAAGAGAAGCTAACTATTTTTTTTTTCCTTTACAGGTCCAATTTTGAGGGTATCCAAAAGCGGGTCCTATTGAAGCGTATGATTAGTCCTACGCAATTAGGTAGTCACGTGATTAACTGACCAATGACGTCGTGAGTTCGAGCCCCACGTCGCGCGAAAAAGCGGGTCCATCTACCACCGTTGGAGGACCTGAGGTGCGGTGAAGAATGGGTCTGCTATTCCGTTTTCGGCCATGTGGGTCGTAGGTTCGAGCCGATCTGGCGACGATTTTATCATTTTCTCTCTGATTGGCTCGACCCTGTATACATTGAGTCTAGAGGCTCTTCTTATTACTCGCTCTTGACATCTCCATGGATACTACCAAGCCCAAGGGATATTGAATACTACGCTGTATGCGTATCATGACTCGATCTATGGCATAAAAAAGAAGCAACGCTGCATTTCTTGGCGCAAAGGTCTGAGTTGGCAATAATATCCTTCAATCAGGGAGCAATTTATACCATGAAGCTCAGATTGTTTCTATTCTAGGCTGCTCACTGGAAGATGGCAAAGCCACGATCATTGTGATTAACTATAAACCTGACAATTGACTCCCATCAGGAGCTTTCGCCGAGAGAGTTATTCACATCTCTCCTCCACTTGACGGCCTAAAGTGTGACTGCATTGAAGTCACTGGTCATGGCAAGGCTTCATCAGACGGCTTGCACCCTCCAAGATTGATCATTGATTATGGGCAGCGTGCAATGAGTTCATACTATCAGATGCTGTAAAGCTTGCACCCGATTCGCCATGATACTCTGATCAGAACGCTCTCACGGATGACTATAAAAGTGTTCTCTCGCCCATGGTGTCTCTACTCGTCAGTATATATTCCTCAAGGACAACGGCCGCTTTTCAGCTATTCTCGGCTGGGAATATCCTGGTTTATATCCAGAATACTAGAACCCGACTACTAAAAAGACCACTAAAAGAACTATTGAAAAGACTACCAGAGCATAGTTCAAAATAGACATGACAAGGCCGCGTAAGCCGACTACTATTATCAGTTGTAAACCAGCATCTATATACTACACAGACCATGTGGGTTCAGATTTAGGCATCAGCTCTGACTTTCTACGCCATGGATAGTCTTTTCGCTAGATCTACCACGATAAATGACTTTGTCAAAACTCCATCTACTAAATACAAGGTCTCTGTCCAGCCCTATGGGCTCAACTTGAAACGGCGATTAGTAAGCGATATTCCTTCAAATCTAGGCTAAGGTCGACATTTAGGTTAATGAGAAGCGAAGCATGACAAGTAAATGAATCGGATAAATATCCGTGTTAGGTGCATGTTTATATGTAGCTAGCAGCTAGTCCATGTAGGCAGTAAGTCGTGTGCCACACACAATCCGGGGGTACATGGTAGTACACCACCAGGTACTCCATACTAGGCAACTAGATGCGCAAACCATTTCGAGTCAAGTCAATTCAAAGACCAAGAAAGTCATTCAAAAGTAGCAAAAAGCAAAAATAGAAGAAAAACAAAGAAAGGCCGCGGTTAGCGGTCAACGGGGGGCTCCACTCGCCCGTGAGCTGAAATCTCTTTAGTCCAGATCGGCAACGCACTGCAGATATAAGATCCTTCCCTTCCACCTGGATATACGATTTATTTGCATCTATTCTCCTCAGGAGAATACTGTACATTCAGACTTTATAAAAAAAAGCAATCCGATCCCAAAGAGAAGAGAGAAAAAAAAAAAAAAAAAGTCCTCTAGATACCTCGTCTCCAATCCCCACAAAATCCCCTCAGGGACCGCCTCCAATAACCCCAGAATCACACATCCCAGTATGGTCACTACAAACCATTCGGCCTCAGGCCAATATCAAGATCATCCAGATGCACCCCTGCCGATCCGGGTGGAGCACTCATCGATCTCATCGGAGCAGGGATCGTCTTCAACGCAAACGATAACGCAAGCCCAGTATGAACATGATTACTGCGACAGCGCCAGTGAAGCCGATACCGAACCGGTATTGGCTCAATCAGAACCCCGTCCTATCGAGGACGACGACGAGGCCGTCGCGATGGCTTCAAGACCCCGCCATAAATGGCAGATTTGGTGGTTGCGCAATAAAGGTATGGGGTTGGTCTTGTTGGCGCAGGCTTTCGCTGCCTCGATGAATGTCATGACGCAGGTTTTGGAGATTCATAGTGCTATGCATCCTTTCCAGGTAAGACACAGAAAGATATCTTACTATATCGTCCCCCACCATTCTATACAAAACTAATACACCCCAGATCCTCTTCGCCCGCATGTCCATAACAGCGATCGCAAGTTACCTATACATGTACTTCGCATCAACACCCTCCCCACTAGGAACCCGTCCTGTCCGCGGTCTCCTCCTCCTCCGCGCCCTCTTCGGCTTCACAGGCGTCTACGCCCTCTACTACTCCGTCCAATACCTCCCCCTCTCCGAAGCAACCGTAATCACCTTCCTCTCCCCAATCATCTCCTGCTACGCCTGTTCCCTCCTCATCCCCGGCGAGACCTTTTCTCGGAAACAGCTGTTCGCAGGCTTAGTCTCTCTCGGCGGTGTCGTGCTCATTGCCCGTCCCTTCAGCGCACGTGCTTCACACACTGCCATCGCAACCCCGACTGCCGCCGCTGCCTGGGCATTAGGACTGTCTGCATCGGATGTCGAAAAACCACCCTCCGAAACAGATTCCTACCACCACGTCATGGCGACTATTGTTGCCTTTGTCGGCGTGCTCGGTGCTTCGGGTGCGTACACTTCTATCCGTATGATCGGTCGTCGTGCGCATCCGCTGGTATCGGTGACGTACTTCTCATCTGTAACGACGATTATTTCTCTCGTTGCGATGCTCGTCGTGCCATCTATACCATTCCGGATTCCTAATACGGTCGTGGAGTGGACGTTGTTGACAGGACTGGGTGTTTGTGGGTTCTTGTTGCAGTTTTTGTTGACGGCGGGGTTGTCGTATGTTCCACCTGCGTCTGTCTCGGATGGGAAACCTGTGGCGCAGGGTGCGCGTGCGACCTCGATGGTTTATATGCAGATGCTCTTTGCAGTGTTTTATGATAAGGTTGTTTGGGGAAGTACACTTAGTCCGATTAGTTGGGTTGGATCTGGAATTATTTTGGTATGTGCAGTTTATGTTGCTTTTGCACATGAGAAACCTGCTGTACATGGGAATGGAGGTGTGAATGGGAATGGAGTGGTGGAGGAGTATCATGATGTTGAGGGATACAAGGATGACGAAGAGAGGGCGGAGTCAGGGGGGAATTGAGTTTGTATATATATATGGTATATACTATATATTATAGTTACATATAGTATATATACCGTATATATATCGTATATATAGGGTTAGTGTATATAGTGTGCCTAGACCTAGACAGGTGCTTTGACCGTGAGATTTGCCACTGGAGCACTCTGCTCCGGCATTGCATTGTCCTATAAAATATCAAATGAAATATCAAATTCAACCTCGACGTCATTGGGTTACAATCCGGGAAGTCCCAAACGCATTTGGCTTCTACTCCTCGTACCTAGCACTAGGCTAATATGGTATATAGTGGATTCTCCATAAAATCCCACTCGCCCCATAATTTCCCCATATTTCTTTACTTCGCTCTACCTCTTAATAGACATAACATGCGTCACTTCGATACTTGGGTTCTCCGTGACCCCTACTCTATTTGGCATTACTATCCAACCGGTCATCGTTGGCGCGATACCGTCCGCGATTTAATTCAATCGCGCGCAATCTGTTCCCCAGAGAACAACCTCAAACCACCCATAGACTGGAGTCCACCTCAATCTCAACAATCTCCTCTCCTCCGCCTCCCAGCCGAAATTCGCCAAATCATCTGGTCTTATGTCTTCACCAACTCCCCTACCACCGAAACCCAAACCATCCACTTAGTCCAACTAAAAGGCAAAATTCGACATGTTCTCTGTCCAGTCCCGGTCAAGAAGTACCCAAATCAACCAAACCCATCTTTAACCCAAAACCGCCACTGTTGCCCTACAACCCCAGCCCGCTGGCGCATCTACGACGGCCGTGTCCCAGGACACAGCGATAGACTTCTTTACCCACACACCCACTCCCATCTCCCGTCAACATTAAGCAATAGCAATACCGCTCTGCTACGTGTCTGTCGGACTATCTATTTCGAATCAGAGACGATACTCTACAAAACCTCGCATTTCGACGTCGACGATTTATACACTTTTATTGCATTTGCGACGTCATTGTCGCCTGTTGCGCGTGCGGCAATTTCAAAACTCACAGTGCAATGGATGCCGATTTGGGTGCCGATGGCTGGGTTGGATCATAAGGGGTCGATTTATGCCCATACGCATAGTGATGAGTTGTGGGTTAGGTTTTGGGAGGTTGTGGCTAGTTTGGAAGGATTGAGGGTGTTGGGGTTGAGTTTGGATTTGGGCAGGTTTACTAGTGTTGTAGGAAGTACCGGGGAGGCGGTGGTTTCTGGTCAGAGGATTCCGTTTGGGATTGGAGAAGGGTGGGTGAAGCCTATTCTGAGGGTTCGGGGGTTGAAGGAGTTTGATTTGGCCGTTACGGCGAGATGTGATTTGCTTGCTAAGGGGGTTGTTGAGGGAGAGTTGGTGAGAGATGTTGGGCTTTTGAGGGAGGAATTGAGGGAGATGTTGTCTGGACCGAGGGAGAGGATGAAGGGAGTGGAAAGGAAGAGGAAGATTAGATTGGCTATTACTGCTGCTTGATATACCCGCTTTATGTATTTCTTGATACAATACCACATACAATTTGCATGGTTTGCATAGACTGTAAGTCAAGGGACAATTTGACTGTTCTCAAGTTGAAATCAGAGACCGTAAAGTCTCAGCCTCTCTCCCCTATAATTACTAAAGAGTATAGGACATGGCGACAACGGATCTACCTACTCCTTCCCATATCGAAATTCGTCATGTCTCTCGATATCTTCCCCCAGGGGTCTCCAAGATCATTACTCGGGGTGGTGATAGCTTTATCGGCTTCGTTGATGAGTCCACTGTCTTGAAGTACCCATGCTTTCCTAGCAACTGGGAAAGCTTTGAAATAGAGGCTCAACTTCTCGCCATCCTTGGAACCCATCCCCGGATCATTCAATCAAAGGGGCTGACCGAACACGGTCTTCTTCTGGAGTATGCTCCAAACGGCAACCTAAGCGACTATATCACCTCAAATAACGTTATTTCTCTCGATCGAAGGCTTAATTGGTGTAAACAAGCTGCCGAGGCAGTTGGTTATATCCATACAAAGCGTGTTATTCATTGTGATCTAAATGCTCGAAATTTCCTCCTCGATGAAAACTTTGATCTGATACTGGCGGATTTCCAAGGGATGCTCAAGTCGATTGATGGTGAAACATTATTAGATGGGCTATCGCGTGAGTGTTCAAAGTCATTTCGACCGCGGGTCCACGGGGACTATGCGGACGTGCACACCGATCTCTTTGCACTTGGCTCTGCAATTTATTATATCATGAACGGGCACGAAATCTTTCCTGAGCTAGATAGTTTTGAGGATGATGAGGAGATACTGTCTTTGTTTGAACAAGGGATATTTCCATCTGATGAGCAAGAGCATGTATGTTATTTCATCACGGAAAAATGCTGGAAGCAACAATACCAGTCTGCTGGAGATATTGTTCGGGATATCGCTCAACTACGGGGAGTATCCGAGAAGGGTGGTATTTAGGGAGGATGGCGGGATCTAGAGGGAAAGGAGGGTCCTCTTCAATTGGATATCATGAAAAATGTGTTTATTCGGCGCTCTTCCCTCTGCGAGTACATATCAGTGAGGGTACAATGTCAAGCATTCTCCCATACAGCCATGTACATAACCCTAGCAGAAGTCTGCTAACACTTTCTTTGCCATAACATCACAGCCCCACTAATATGGAAGTTTTGGGGAAGTCGAAATCAACTCTCTGTATAATTAAGTATATAACTCATCAACCGTAGGAAAGAGGGTAACAAATCCCCAGATTTAGGCCAAGAGTCTCACAAGCAACCTTCGAACGGATCCTCGGTATAATGCCTCGGTTTGGCTTATTAATCAGGCCCCAAAACCCGGGGCTCATATTTTCTCTATCAAAACACCGATCTCATTCTATCACAGATCATGGATATCTCAATTTCAACCTCAGCCTACCTGCTGCTGGCTTCACTGCCATTACTAGTGTTCTCAGAATGGAATTCCAGATCACACACGGGTACCGGAGTATTCAAAATGCTCTCTTCGGTCGCTTTCCTTAGCAGCCCATTACTCCTACCATCCACAGAATGGTCAGACTATCGCCGTCTTGTCACCATCGGTCTTGGCTTTTCCATGCTGGGCGACTTTTTCCTTATTCCCTCACGCCGTGAATTCCACGGCAAACCCCCATCCGACAAATCAGAACCGCAAGGAAAAGTATCAATCTCTTTTCAACTCGGTATCGTCGCCTTTGCCGCGGCTCATATAGCCTACACTGTAGCTTTCCTGCAGGATTCGTCCCAGACCTCCTGGACGGCTTTTGCAGCTACCTTTGTAGCCACTCTGGCCGCGGCAAAATGGTTGGGTGTCATCTATCCCCCGTCGCAGTCTTCACTCCAGACAAATGTACTGGACCTCGATATTGCGCCGGATATGAAACCAGTGGTTTCTATTTATGCGGTTATTATTGGTGTGATGTTTGCGGCTGCCACTGCTACCGCCCCGTTGAGTGTTCCAACTGACTGGTGGCACTCGCGAGCCCTGGGTGCTGCTATGTTTGTTGTAAGCGACCTGTTTGTTGCGAAGAATGCATTTGGAAGATCTGCTGCGCCGAGGAGCCGGGGGTGCGTTGCGATCTTTGTGGGGTATGCACTTTATTTCTGGGCACAAATGGTCATTGCTGGAACAGTGCGAGAATAGTGGCGAGCATGGACCAGCATTGAGCTGGGATATTCCACTGGTGTATCCAAGCCATGCTGAGGTAGATCTCACCATGACCCCCGAGTCCAAAATTGGAACTGGCCTTCCTCTCCTAAGTTTATCACGAGACAGGGGTACTCTGTATATAAGAGATCTTCTACTTCTACAAGGTCCGACTTTACCCATTTGCATGAAGGCTTGATGTTGATATAATCCTACAAGCTATGTATATATTCAGCAATACATTATTGCCAAATCTGATAGTGATCGACTCTACCAAACCCTAGGTTGCAGGGCTGTGATGAAGGCATTAAACCACTATAACTCTAGTATACTCTTACTACTACGCTCACACTAGGAGCGTGCTCCCTCCCTATTTGATATAAACTGTAATACGAGAACATCTATAAGAAACAGTGACATGGTTCATGATAAATGTGATGAAGAAATTAAACTACAAACTGTGGACAAACAGGAATAATAGAAACACATCCACAGATATCACATCCACAAAACCCACATGCATGTATTCTTCCATACCGAGCATTCTGCAATGTTCGCACTTGCCTATAGTAGGGGTCTGCCCAACAAAACCGTTGCCTGCTTAATTGTTCCCTAAGCAGGGACATGACCATGTGCCAACGATCCTATGAGGCCAAGAGAATGTGTTTGCCCACCCGAGAAAATCTTGACAGTGCAAGTCCCACACAGTCAGCAGAATGAGGATATATACCATAGAGGCAGATCATGGCTGCGACTTCTGCAGATGTCATAACTTGAAAACTCGTCCTTTTGGCTTCAATTCTTCAAAGCCCGAGCAAAACCAAAGCCACAATTTCTTGAGCTCTCGAAAATAGTTATCAGGTAAGAGGAGATACGATCATCGGTAAGAGAATAGGCTCGTCAAGAAGTTGTAAGGCGCCGTGAAGCGCTATATAAGGTATAATGATAACTATAGCTAAAGCAAGCTATAGTATTATGAGGAGGAGAGGGTAGGTTGGAAGACCCATGAGAAGGGAATTGGCTTTGTTTATATGTGCTGGAAGAAGTTCTGGTCTGTAAGGCAAAGCAAACAAGCCATCAATGCTCAATTCACAAGACAATGTGCAAGTGATTGTAGTAAAGGTTCCTTCGGTGAAATATTCATGTGTCTAAAGAGCATATAAAGAGGAAGCTAAACAAACTTCAATAGTCTTCGAGTGGCAGAAGCCAAGCCATTACGAAGATAACTGGAGTAAGTAGGACTCCCTTTGCAGGGCTGGGTAGGTGGGATACTTTTTCCGATCTATGGTGAGTGGCGAATCTCGGGCTGAGATACCATGCAGATTAGGGCTCACAGGTTACTTTTTATACGAACATACAAATCTATCAAATCCAGTAATCTGCAAAGTTCAATTGAGGAAATCTGAAACTGAAACAAAAGTCACAATCTATGTGCAGTCCAGGACACGATAGTCGAGGTCATGTACCTCGATCAACTGTCCATCAATTCCACCTTTTTTTGTACACAAACTAAAAACAAACAGGGGGAGAAGGAATAGCCTTGGATGGATCAAGATCAAAGACCTTGATCATGACCAGATGAAAGGAGTCAGATCAACCAACCCCAATCATCAAAGGCCAAATACAAAGATAATCAAACAGGGAACAAGTTCATTGGAATATTAGGGGGGAGGAGCGTTTGAAACCGCCGAACAAGAACCAAAGAAACAAATTGAAAAAGAAATATCAAATGACAAAAAGAACTGTATCGAAGCCGAACCAGCCAAGTTGGGCATACAGCTCATCCATAGAAGACACAGAAGAAAAAGACACCAAGCGCCCGACATAGGAAAAACCGCCAGTTACGGCACAATTTGTAAAGTATAAGACACGAACCGAATGCAAGATGAAAAGATGGATACATATGCAAAGGAATAGGAGGGAAGGTGTTAGGGGAGGGGGTAAATTGCGGCTACAGGAATGGCAGGCCATTTACCAATCTGTAGCTTGGTCGGGTACAATATAGAGGCAAAGTCATTTACTTTGCTGAGACGTGACCGGCACGGCCACGCACCTCCTCTTCGTAGCCATTGTGCTCGGACTCGGGGTCTTCATCAGTGGGACTTTGCATGCCGCTGGGGTGATCCTGGAGGGATTGGCGACTGCGGGCCATCTGTATAAAGCATATTAGTACAAGTTGCACTATATCAATCTGCGCATTTCCACTGTAGAATTGACTTACCCAAGCACGAACACCTCCGATCAATCCGAGACTGTATCCAGTAGCGAAATCCTCATTGCGGCGAGAGCCCATGGGGCTATCTGAGCGGCCGGGGATGTCTGCACCCACACGCGACAGGTGTGACTTGCTGCCACCTGTAGGGCTGGTGAGAGGTCCACGCATTCCCCAGTCCATGCTGTTGCGGCCGCTGGGAGCGGGGCTGTTGGGGCGGCTGTTCTGCCAGATCTGGCGCAGTTCGCGGCCGAGCTCTTGGCCGGTCATGGTCCAGTTGTTGCGGATGTTATCACGCAGCTCGACAACATGACGCTTGATCTCAAGCTCGTTCTTCTTCAACCACGAAACGTTCAGTTCTTGGCGCGAGGCGCCGCGCTTGAATTGACGGGAGATGTACTGGTCGTAGTCACGGACGACACTACAAATAGATACATTAGCTTTGGGTCTGCTAGATTCGGTGTTGTGGGTGGAACATACCGTGTGATGATACCAGTAGTACTGACACCCTCTGTACGCTGGGTCACCAGGAACTTGCCCTGAGACTTGATAGGTCCGTAGATGTCATCACCCTCGGCGGCCTCGTAGGGCAGATCATCGTGAGCAACATAGTCAATCTGGTGCTCAGACAGGAACTCCGGTGTCACAACCCACGGGCAGCAGGGAATGACCTCGTCAACCCACTTGCAGTGACGGATAGTCTCCGCGCGCTCAGCGCCGCTGAGCACCGTCAAACCCTTGCGCATGTGTGTCTCCTCATCGCCAGTCACACCGACAATCAGATAAGTATCTGGGAAAGCCTTCTTAGCCTGTTCGAGCTGTCTCATGTGACTATAAAGTGATAGTCAGCAACTATTACCCAATTGAGCGACCCTAAAGCCCAAAATGGAAAGGGGGGCTGAATCTGAAATCTGAAATCTGAAACTCAATCCGCTCGTGTGATCACCTACCCAAGATGGAACAAATCAAAGACACCGTCCGCATACACGCGTACCGAGCGGCCCGTTGGGGGAGGGTTGGTTTTATAACCAACGGGATCCTGCAAGCGCCCAAAGACCGGGGGTGCCATCTGCTCCTCTGTAACAGGCTCATCGTCTTCGGGCAGATCGATATGTAGACCAGGGCGCGACCGAGGACCACCCTCAATATCGCTGCTGGCGACAGTTGTCTCTGATGGCTCGCCGGGGTCTTCCTTGTTGATGGCCCCGTTCACCTCGTGGTTTGCATCGGAAGCGGCAGACTTGCGGGCACGCTTAGAAGCATGGCGAGTACCATTGGTGTGAGCGTTGGCATTGACGGGACCTGTTGAGTCGTCGCCGCCTTCTTCGCCGGACGCGTCGCGTGAGGACGGCTGGAGGTCGGCTGTGACGTTCTTAGGAACGGGCGCGGGAAGGTGGGAGGCGCTGCGCTTGCGCTTGGCGGCGGGGGATGTAGATGGCGACATTATGATACTGGCCCTGGAGAATAAAGAGGGATTTCTTCCGAGGGGAATGAATGAAGAAGGTTGGGGATGGAGAGATTTAGGGAGAGAATGTAGAAACCCTTAATGACGGCAACCCGGTTTTAGGGGAGACTGGTAATTTTCTGTTTGGGGAAAGAGTGGGGGCCGTAGCTCCGCTGTCGTAAGCGCCCACGGTCCACCTGGACAAGAGTTAAGAGGGTACGGGGGTCGAATCTTACAATACAGTGAATTGCAAAAATGTATTGCAAATTAAAGTCTTGGCATCTTACACTGACCACGTGTGGATTAGCCCTGATAGGTACAGGGGTAAATGTGGACATCTCTCCGTATAATAGGTCGTACTCGCATAGCTCTTCGGTTTCACGCCAACGAATTAGGCAATTGACAGAAATTTCATACCCCTGATTTGCTTACTCCGTACTTTGTATTTTGTACTTCATAATCACTCAGAAAGTTGCTTAAGATAGAACATCTACCAAGGTATAAAACGCTCAATGCAGATATACGCCAAAGGGTATGTAGACCATTGTCATTGCCCATTGCTCACCCTGACGAAATCTCAATACCCAATTCTACCAGCTTGCGCCCCTAGCAAGTATTCTCGTATAGACCAGACCGCAGATCAATGACCATAGGTAGGGAATAGACCGGGGATTAGGAAGGGGAAAAAAAAAAGAAACCGAAAAGCGGTTAGGGAAGTGTAAATGGCTCGTCAATAGCGGGCATTTTCTGCGGTATCTCGTTGTGGTGATGGCATAAAGTAAGAAACGTGTTCATGAGGCCCATTTGGCTCCCGGCGAAGGGCTCTCTTTCAACACCCTCCATGGAAATTCAAAGCTCTTGTCTTTCATCTCATTCAATTCCCTGTGGGTCTCTTTGCCACATGTCCTGTCTCTGACAAAATATCCATTTCAAGTCGAAGGAAGTTAAAAAAAAAGGGTGTAAACAGGCTCGGGACCAGAGCCCGACGATAACTAAGCGCAAAACAAAGAAAGGGGGAGGAAAACAGGGCATAGATCGTGGAATCAGGGGGGGGAAGGGTCGTTGACAGTGGGCAAGTAAAACAAAACCAGATTGAAACCAAAACAGGAAAGACCCCCAATCGTGAGACTATTCATATAAGTTCATAGACTACGATGAGGACTTCTCTTTCTCGGCATCGGTGGAGGCCGGGGATTCGGATATTTGAGCAGAAGTTCCGCTGACATTATCCTGTTTCCCCTGAGGACCTGGAGTGGCCTGGCGGTCGTTCCGGGTGCTTGATTCGTGCTGCACCTGGTTGGGAAGATCCTGGTCCTCCTCAGTCTGATCAAAAAGTTCTTCGTCGTTCTGGTCCGGGATGACTTCAGTGCCATCACCCAGGAGGATGATGCGGCCCGAACGGACACTGAAGCCACGGGAACGCTCCATCTCCAGGTCATATTCATCCGGGTTATCCTCAAACTGGTTCCGAATCCCGGGGCCGCGGAACTCGGCTGCACGAACTGGCCGTCAGCACGAAGAAGTGGGGATGCTTTCGGGTTCCTCGGGAGACTTGCCGTACTCGGGCGGAGCACACGGTCCATCCCCGTTCGCAACCCGCTCTGCAATCTGGTTGTACCACTCCTCCTTGGTCTTGCCTTGTAGGAGTCCAATGACGGTCATGGTCATGTTGTCACATCCGACACCGCCAGTTTCACTGTTGGAGGCAAGGCAGTTGTCCATCATGTTCTCACAGATCTGGGCGAGGGGCTGCTTGGCAGCAATGCCTCTGCGGACAAACTCAACCACGGCCTGGGAGGACTGGCAATCCCAGATACCTGTAGACTGGTTAGCATTTAGACTGGCAAGAGGGAGCGATAAGAGAAAACATACCATCACAGGCAATCACCAGGAATTCATCATCATTCGTCAGTTCGTGAACGGTCACATCGGGGTATGCGGTGACGATCTGCTGTTCGGGAGAGAGCTCGGGGCTCTTCTTGAATTCAAAGTCACCGATAGCACGGGACAGGGCAAGGTTGCCATTGACACGACCGAAGTCGACGAAGCCACCAGCAGCGGTGATACGGGCCTTCTCGCCTGTGAGTGTTATTTGTTAGACCCCATTGTGTTATATGTAGCGAACTGTATGGTTCCATGTACTTACCCTCGTTCTGAGGCTTGTGGTCGAATGAAAGGGGCTTTGCACGTCCCTTGACACCCAAGACGGATCGCGAATCACCAGCATTGGCCTATATTATCACAGTCAGTTTCAATCCCTTTGATCTGATATTGGTTTCAAGATTGTAACATACCACCCAGATCTTCTTCTGTGAGATAATGCCTGTGGAAGCCGTGCAGCCAGACACCTCCTCCTCATAGCGGGGGTCTAGGCCAAAGTCAGCGACCACTCGGTACACCGGGAATAACATAGCACAAACCTTCCAAAATAGCCCTATCGGTCGCAAGGAAACCATCCTTCATGGCCTGTTCAATATCACCCTTGGCGAAAGCATCCTGTCGGGAAACGATCTTGTGCAAGTTCTCGCCGGTGAATAGTGCCACCTTGTCTCCACCGTGGCCATCGTACACACCAAAGAAGGCGAGACGGTGTTCCGGATCTGTCGGCTTGTCGTTGTTACCGGTGTAGTTGGCCTGGAGGTCAAGGATTGTAGCGTGGGCATCCTCCATGCTGATTCGCCAACCCTGCATGGCCGACACACCATACACACAGCAGTCATCCCCGCCTTCGGACGATGTCTATATCAAGTGAAAAAGAACATGTTAGTTACACTCGATGCTTTTTCCATAAGATATACAAGGGCTGTCTGGTAGGATTGCGACGCCAGTTCGTGGTCGAACCACCCCCACTACCCAGCTGAACTACCCAAGACCCCGCATGGCAACCCGAGGAAGATTCCTCCGAGCGACAGCACGGACGATTTGTTCAACTGGGAAGATCTGAGAGACTTGGTCCCCTGATATAGAGTATGACAAGAGTCCAAAAAAGGGGGATGTTTAGACATAGAAATAGAGCATCACAATGGCCAGTGTGGGGTGTGAATCAAGGAAGTGAAATATCTCACCTTTTCGACCACCGGCTCCGATAGGGTTTGACCCATATTGGCAAAGATTGAATAATTCGGGGGAGGTTATGGGATCGAGGTATCGAAGTGTGGGAAGTGGAAGGGAGGTGCTGGAGTGGAAAGGGTCAGATGAGGGCGCAGGGCTTTCAGCGCGTCTGGTTTCCCGCGATAAGTGGGGAACGACGGATGACGATAGATGTCTTGCCTTTGCACGATATTTTGTGAGAAAGAGGTTTGGTGAGGTTGGAGAGATATAATTTCAGTAAGCTAAGAGGAGAAAGTTCGAGTCTAGAGATCTCGCAGAGATTTCCTGGTATTGCGTTTACCGCTTTTGTTACGCTGTGCTCTATATAGTCACGTGAGGAGGGTCATCTAGGAGTTTTTGAAGATGTTTTGCATTGGAGAGAATATTTTGTATAGAAAGATCTATAGCTTACATGGTCATAGTGTCTGGAATCAAGTATATTACATCTTATATCTCATTGAGGTTGAGCGGAAAATAAACAGGGGTATATAGCCCCTGTAGTCACCATACAGTCATGCCATATCAGATGTCTGACGCTCAACCTTGAAACCCCTACATTATTTTATTTGTAGGGAATAACTTCCTTTCCCTCGAATCCATCTCATGAGCTATGGACTCTATTCCAATGTCTGTCTTATTCCGAAGAAATTACTACACGGACCTCGGAAGATCCAAGCGGTGAATCCTACAAGCCCTGTTCGCTACATGTGTGCATGCATACGAAATAATCTTGGAATCATGCAGAGATATTATTATTCACTCCAAAACTAGCAGTCTCTACCAAAATACCAACCAATCAACCATAGAAAAGCCAATGGATATCATGCAATGCCCGAGAACGCCAGAAAACACAATAGACAGAAAACCGAAAAAAATGGAGAAAGATATAGAGAGATGAGACGGGGAAAGACGAAGTCAAAGATCAAACAAATGCCAGCTCTCCACTACTGGCTATAGGAAGACCACGCTTATCGTCACTCTTAATCGGCCGCGGGGGCTCAAGAGGTGACGACAACCACCACGGATGATTGGGGCTCTTATTAGGGACCTTGCGCGACAGATGCTCATCCAGATCCGAGATCATTGATGAGCTGTGCGGCATAGCATTTTCATCGTTCACTTTCTGAGGCTGGGAGTTGCCCTGGCCCTCCAATTGCCGACCACTGCCCATACTATTCTCGCTCCAGAACCGCGGCAGCGGAGAGATAGCACCGCGATATTCTTGTGCAAGACTCAGCTGGCTCTGGCCATATGCGCTGCCCTCGGCAAGAGGGAACAGACCGGCCTGGTGCAGGTTTTGATATTGGGAGAACCGGTTGGCGGTGGTGTCATCGCCGTATTCCGAAGCTGAGATCGCTGTCGACAAGGGCCGTTCGTGGATGGATCGGCGGAAGTCATCACTAAAGGTGGATTCGGAGACGGTGTCGGCGCGGCTGCGCATGCTGCGGTTTCGGTCGAGCGCGCGCATGCCCAAGGAAGTGCGTCGGCTGATTTGCGCGGAGAAGAGAGGGTTGGAAGAGTTGCGGTGCTTGGCTCGGCTGTGAACAAACGCTTCCAGGGAGTCGGCTTCCGAGAGGGTGGAGTCATCGGGCTCGACGGTGCGCAGGGTCATGCGCTTGTAGTTTTCGGGAATGCTGGATGCCATGCTGTGGCGCATGCGTGCTGCGGCTGGCGGACGCGGGAGCATCATCGCCATGTTGGTTATGCTGGTCTCATCGCTCATCATCGAGGCTCGCGCATTTTGCCATGATGCCTGCACCACGCCATGGCCGGGAGGTCCGAAGCCGCCGGCGCCATGGCCCGCTCCGCTGAATCGTACAGGCAGTCCAGAGGCAATGGAGGAGATACCGCTTGAGCGCCTTGAGTATCTCTTCGACTTGGATGATTGGATGGATTCTCGCCTCATGGCTCGCGGCTGGATTGTCTTCAATGGCTCTCGGCGGGAGCGGGTGGTCGTCTTGCGACGCACGGGGCTGTTTGTGTATGAGAGACGATTGGTTTGCTTCTTGGACGGCGAGACAGTTTGAACTGGCTTATTCTCTTCGATGGGGTCTCGCAGAGGGACGAAGCCCCCACGAGTGGGAGACTTGCGAGCAGGAGAGCGAGGGGGAACAATGGGCTCAGGGATAGAAAAGCTAACTGGGTGCTCCCGTTTATCAAATGATGACACGTTCCACGCGGGTCCAAGTTCGAGCTTGGGAATCGACGATGGGGAGATAGGACTCATCCAATCGTCGGAATTGTCATCACGATCGCGGGAAGGTCTTTCCGTCATGGATGGCTGGCAAATAGGGACATCTGGCCTGACAGGTCGTGGTGGAGCAGGCTTGCTGTCAGATGGACCCTCTTCGATCGTGGGCGAGCCCTTGCGGCTACGCCAGCAGCAGAAGAGAATCAGCATACTCAGAATTATCACGAATGGGACCACAATCGAGATCGCGATGATTCCAGCCTTCCTGTGGTTGGGGGTGTCAGGATGAGTGAACGGATCGGTGGGGTTCAAATGTGTGTCGGAGGCTTTGAGAACATCGAGAATAAAGTCCCTTGTGTCTTCAGTCGATCCTTGGTGTGCAGTAAGAGGAATGGTGAACTTCTTGGGGTCCATGTCATCCGGAACATGCCCGTAGAGAGTCTTGTTGTCCGAGAAGTAGGTAAGCCACGTGAGGTCGCTATCCAAATCGATCTCCAATTGCACAGAGTCATCGGTGACGATAGACTGGTTGAACACGAACTTGAAGTCCTGACCAATGGCTGCCTCGCAGCCATCCACGGTGTCGAGGAACAGCTTCCAAAAATCTAGCCGAAGCATCAAGTGCGCTTCATCCTGGAAAGAGTCTGTAACGGCAATGGTGATATTCTGGTTCACAGCATTCTTGGGTGGTGTCCCGCTCAACGAGATATTGTCCTCATCCAGCTCCAACCAGTCCGGCAATTCAGCATCGACCTTTGCCAGCTCCTTGATAGAGATTGGCGAACCGTCCATAGTGAGAAGGCTGGTGAATTTTGGGCTGTTGAACTCTTCTCCTCTCGTAAGATTGAAGGTTTGAACAGTCTCGTTGAATGTCAGAATATGGGGACCGATCGAGAGTTCAAAAGTCACGTTGGCCGCACTGTACCCAGCTACATCCGATGCGATCAGCTGAAAAGTAAATGTCTGAGGCCCCGCGCCTGGAAAAGCAGGGCTATACCCAGCAAACTTCAGGGCTGCCGGGTCGAAATTGATCCAGGAAGGTAGCGGGGCGTTGTTCGGCGAGGTTCCGTAGTAGATCGTGGAAGGATGCGTGTTGCCAAAGGTATCCTGGTCGAACTCGATTGAGAATGGACGACCTGGATGGATGAACAGCCTGGCAGGGTATGAGACCGGTCCCAATTTCTCCAGTTGAGGTACAAGCGGCTTGTTCACCGTCGGTCCCTGGTCTGCTGTCACGATCAAAGTAACCTCCATGCTGTCTTTTCCCGATTCGTTCGATGCCACAAGCTTGAACTTGATGGTGCCACTGTCGCCTGGGTGTGGCGTTCCGGACAGAGTGAGACTGCTGCTGTCCACTTCGAGCCATGATGGCGCATTTGATAGCGAATATTTAGTGTCCGCGTCGCTGTTAGAGAAAGTACTTTGGGCGAATCCAAATCGGAAAGGTTGTGAAATCCGGGCAACGGGTGGTAATTGCGCGTTGATAGGATAATTGGCAGACAATGTCGCTGCACTGACGACTGACAGAAAAGCCAGTACGATGGTGAGAAAGGCCGTCATGGTTTAAAAAACGCGAGCACGCTGTAACTGTATATATCTAGAAAAGACACAGCTGGCTCACCGGTCACCAACAACGCTTCCAATCTCACGGAGAAAGATAGTGAAAGTAGACAAGATGGAAAGAAAAGAGAGATTCAGGATGAAGATGAAAGAGTGTAACGCATGATCTTCCAAAAAAGGATCGTGGTCCCTCTCGCACCAAAGGGACCAGGGAGACATTCAAGGCGTGCCCTTTCAAAAAAGCCATGCCTGGATATGTTAGATATCGCGGAAGTATGTAGCAGAATGACAGCGGAGAATGGACTCGGACGCGATCGCTATAATCTCACGTTTCGAACACGCCCGGTCCATGCAAGGGGTAGTCGCAGGTGGCTCCTGCGGCAGCCAAGGAGCGTAGACGCGCCCAACCATCATGACTTATTGCCCCTCGGACTTATTTGAAAGGGACCAATAAGGCAAGGAACATTTTTAGTGGGAGGAAAAAAGGCCCGAAGGGTGCAGCATTGACGGCAGTGGCTCAAACCATCAAGCTTCTAAATCTAGGACCATTTTGATGCCTGTTCGTCCAGGGGCATAGTAATCAGGGATAACTTCACGCTCCTCGAATCCAGTGCGAAGATACAAGGCGCGTGCAGGCTCCCTGGCCTGGTCCACCCAGAGCTGAATATACTGGCAGCCCTCCTTTCGTAGGCGCTGCTGAATGTAGGACAGTACCTCCTGGCCGACACCTTGACGGCGGTTAGGCTCTGTCACACAGATTTTGTGTAAAAGCGCAACACCCTTCTGTCGGACGTAGACCGCATAGGCAATCAGATCAGATTGTGATCCCTTGGCTCGAGTCGCGTACAGTACTCTCGTGTTGGGCTTTTTTCTCCACAGGTCTTCGCCGAATGGGAAGGCCTCATTGGTGGGGAAGGTCTTTTTCTCGACGCGTGAAATCTGGGCAAGAATCTCCAGTGCCTCGTTCCTCTTCAAGGAATGAATGTCCGAGATGGTGAGGGGCATTCCTCCCACTCCAGTCTCGTATTGAGGTGTCATTCCGGATGGCTTTTGAACGCCTGTTCCAGATATTTGACACTGTAACTGTGTGAGTTTATGTCGTGTCAAGGTCAGAAGTTCAAATTTGTACGGAGTAGTGAAAAGTACTATGTCCCCACTGAGTTTCAGCCAATGAGAATCGCCTTGATCTATAAACTACCTAGTCGGCAATGTCTCAATTTCATCTACGCGTCTATGCATCTATGCACGTCAAGTTGATTTGTTTTTGATTGGTAGAGTACATGTCGAGTCATGTCTCGCAAAGCGCCTGAGCACATAGTCGACCTCCCCAAGCCAAATCACATGATTACCGTGATCGGTTCGCGTTCAAGATTCCACAATCCTCCGTTCATGCATGCATTGACAAGTAGAGACTTGGCTTTGATATCAGGACGAAAAAATGACTGTACAAACCCTTTGATTACCATCAGAAGATTGAAGAATCCCCCACCCTCAGCCTCAATATTCTCCATGGCCTCCTGAAGAGCATCATAGTGCAAAAATTCAATTCCATAATTCTCGAGAGCGCACCCAAAGACATGCAGATGAGGAGGATCCCTCCAAATCTCATTCAACAATTGCGGGCAGCCTCTGAGAGAGTCGCGATGCGTGTATGGTGGTGTGTGAGTGATGAGAACGTCGATATTGTCGGGGATTCGGTCCCAAATGTTATCAGAGTTGGGGTACTGGAAAGCCGAGGAAGGAATGGTCATTGGTGAGTATGGGCTTCCATAGATGCGGAGTTGGCGTCCATTCCAACAGGTCACAACGACATGCTGGTGCTCCAGATAGATGATGTCGCCCCAGTATACACTCTCGAGATCTTCAACTCTCCAGCGACGAGTTCCCCTCTTCATTTTATCAAGATACCGGTCAGATCTACCCGCAACAACAATCTTGATGGGGTGAGGCTGGGCTTGGAGCCAATTCAGCGTGATCTGGAGCTCGGCGAGCGATCCATCTGATGTCAAATCGCCAGCGTGGATCAGAATGTCGCCTCGCGGTATATTTGATCGCTGTCTGTAGGTGTTTGAGATGCAGACTATAGATACGGGGTTTTCAGGCAATAGAGGGAGGTTGACTGGTCGCCATGAATAGAGCTTGCGGGCGAGGAAGAGATAAGGTCGATCTCGGAACTGTTGCCAAGCTGATGGCGGCGCCGGTGGTGGAATGATGTATGACGAGTTGCTGCCGAACGCAGTCATTCTGAAAGACATGATGATAGACCTCAACCCGATAGGCTGCTGATGATGATGACGATGCAGGAAATTCGAGCGAGAGACGAGTTGAAGTATGGTGTTTGCGGCTTGGCTTGTTTTAATTAGATCTTCTCTGAATACATTTTGCCCTTGGCCTTTTCGTAGGGGTCGCCGTTCGCCTTGCGCTCATGTCGCTACATTTATTTTCCTCCATGTTCGTATCAGCCCTCCCGGACAGTAGCCCTAACAATGTAGAATCACTCGATAATACGCGTTTACGTTCGTTTCACCTTTTCTTCCATATAAAAGTTACTCATGTACAACTTGTTTGCTTCCTGTCTGATAGACTAAACATATAGAGAGTCTCTATTTCTCTTACATCCTACTATTCTTTCTTCCACACATCTTCCCTCTTCCATACTTTCTCCCGTAAGGTTCACCATCTATTTTCTTCTCTATCTTTATATCAATGGCAAATTTATCAATATCTCAAGCTTCGGATTTATCACTCTTCTTTCATATCTGGCATCAAATCAGGAGCAGCACCTCCGGCCCGAGATTTCAACTCACAAGTACTCAACGTCATTTATGGCTGCTGGAGAGGGAAAAGGAAGAAATCATGATTCATCAATACATGAAAAAGCAGCGTATTTATACCCCGAGGTCTGGCAAACGATCGCTCAGTCTACTAGCAAGCAATGGGAGCTAGAACCATTCAACAGCTATAATCAGAACAATCCTCCTGGCCCTTTCTTTGGCAAATGCCTCCATCGGAGCTGAAGTCGACCGGCCATCTGATGGATCTAGTCCTACCAAATAGAGTGTTGTGGACGATGATAAAAAAAGAAGAGGGGATTGGCCAGGCACGCATTTTTGGGGAGGAATAATAATCAGGTTCCCATCCTTGTCGTATTTGATGATGTGGTAATACTCTTGAACTTCGTGTCGCCAGTGGAACAATATATAAAGGTGGACGATTTGCTCAGAAGCGCACCGTTGATAATCTGCTTATCCTCCGCCAGTCTTCAAAGAGTGTCCCACGCAAATCACCAAACTCCAATTCGGCATACACATGCCAGGTGTTTCTCATAGGTATGGATCCAGCATAGGTGAAGGCAATTAAAAAATCTTGGTGGCTACACCTGGCTTGGTTATGTTGAAAACCACAAACCGAAGGAGATTTGTTGAATAGAAAGGTAGAGGTATTTATAGCAAGATCGAGGCAGTACTTGAGCACAGGAGGCAATACCGTGACAATAAAGCGATGTAAGTTCAGTTATCACATATAAGAAAGAGGGAAAAGGAAAAACACAGTGAAGAAAAGAAAAAGGAAAAGAGAATGGCTTTTATAGCCTGCATATGGTATATATACACCATAGCCAAACAATGTCCCACAAAGGTATAAACGTCCATGTATATATATTCATTAACCACATAACGCCAAAAACAAAGAAAATAACTATTGGACCAATTTAATCAACACTCCAATGCACAACTCGTTTAACACGAATAGCCATCGGATCCAGATTCTCTTCTCCACTAATCCTCTCTTTCGGATCTGTCTCCACATGAGTCCTGACCGACGTAAGAGGATCTAGGTCTTCATCCGGGTGGAACGGTGTAGGACTCGTTCTGCATTCCATGTCGTATTTATCGTGCTCCCGATCGTGGAGAGATATTCTGTGTATAAAACTAGACAGTCCACGCGATCCTCCGAAATGCTGGGTGCCCGGTAAGTTGGGCATTTTCTTGACCATGGACCGGACAAATGGCTGGAGGACGGGGAGACAGGCACAGATGATTCCGACGCATGGCTCGACGGTTGACCACACGGATACGCTACCCAAGGCCCATGTGATATCGACGTTGCCACGGAGGTAGGTTAAGTAGTGGATTCGAATGCCGCTTGCGACACAGACACTAAGGCAGAGTTGTGTTAGTATTGGTTTTTTTGAAGAGGTTCATTCGAACACATACAATCCACCTAGAAGAAGCACAGCGCATACACCAATCTTCTGCGTTGTCCGCATCTGAAGTTTCCAAACAATAGGCATCGGGACGAGCAGAATAAGAACGTCCGTCACGACATTGGCCGTCGCATTCCCAATGTAGTAGTAGTAGAAGTTATATCGGTATGAGCCCGATTTAGGGTCGGTGATTTCGGTCCAGAAGAATGGAATTGGATCACAGGCGCATAGGGCTGCGATCATGCTTCCCATGCACCAGCCATAAGATATAAAAAGAGTGGCCCAGATCATCCAGTTCATGCCGAAGATTCGGCGGTAGAACATGAGAATGGAAACTTTGATGAGGAGGAGCTCGACGAGATAGACAATGAGATAGGCGAAGAGGATCTATATCCAGTTAGATTTGGCTCTGGGATATATAGAATGATTTTGTTCGTGCCTTTTTCATTATGACCATGTTCTGTACTGTTACACTCCAGATATGTAGACCGAAACCGTAGGTGCCACCTGATGTATATACTGTTAATGTCTTTTTTTTTTTTCCCATATAAGATCGGAGTTACACGTACCAAGAATAGATGATGCAAGTAATGCAATCAATGGAATGGCCGTTATCCCAATCAGCCAGTCATCGGCTTCCAGCTTTGCTCCCTGCATATATAACCTCACAAATAGACGGAAGATAATAGTTAGTATGGCAAGCGCACATACAGTCACGACAGCAGCTGTATCTTCCGCATTTCTGTTTTCGTCGAGATTGATGCCCTCTGGCGGGGGCCCGAAGATTGATGTCATATTCATCTTTGCGATTTACTGCGCCAGCCTGCAATATAGAGAAAAAAAGAAGCTCCTAGGCGTTAAGCATTAGAAGTCAAAATGAGTGTTAAAGGACTAAAAGGTCTAACAGGCGAGTATGGGGTAGTCTTGTTCATTTTGATCTAAGGTGAAATCCTAGAGAATCAGGGCAGCATCCTAAAAGGGTTTAAGTGTACATTTCTTGTTGTCTGTCAATTCCCCCGTTCCACTTTCTCCATTCGGATAGGATCTTTTCTGCACAGATTGCACGTTGTTTGGGTGGGCCGTGATTAGGGTTGGGGGCGGAATATCAAACTGGAGAATCCAATTCTTACTGGTATACAGGATCGTTTATGGGTCAGTTACCCTTGAACAGTGCATTCATCCTGAAGGATTGAAAGTCTGAAGATTGTGTTGCAATTCCTTGAGGATCAACAAGGTAGTTTGTACAATGTGTTGTATTCAATCAATGTAAAACGCCCTATATCAGTGCACCATCATATGGAATCATAAATTATTACAAATGATACATTTGGTACCCTCTTGTAGAATGAGGCTATTAATGAAGTTATCCAGACTTGAAAGTGGCTGAAGCACTTCGGCTATATCATTTTACAGGTTGTGATTTATTCCCTCAATCTCCCTACCAAACTATTGTATAATGGAGAAGAGTAATAGAAAAAGAAGGCAAGTATACGCGAAGACTCTTTAATATAGGGGTATCAATTCCCTATAACATAGAGTAATAGGGAGAGAATATGCGAATATGATCCTTGCCCTAACACATACATTTTCAGTCAATTCAGTAATTCTCGCCTCTCGCTATATGAGTACATATTAGTACATAGAAGATAAGCACTAAATCTAAGAATATCCACCAGTAATAAGAACATTTGAAGCACATTCCTTTACAAGTAAAGTGACGTCAATATAAAAAGGCCCCCAAATAATATCAAGTTGAGTTGACGGAGTACTCCGTATGTATATGGATGTACATTGTAGATTACCTTGATCCGAAAAGTCCCCCACAAAGATCAACCCAACTTCAACAGATTCAATCCTCGCCTTACAATTCCACCCCCACCAATATCAAAATAGAAAAAAAAAATGCCCCCAAAATCTCAAGACCAGGCCGATGACAAGCGCCAAGCGGCCAGAGAAGTCATCGATATCCTCCAGGAGATCTCCGACCTGCTGGTGCGTGCTCCAGATATTCATTCCCCCCCCACCTCATTCTCCTATAAAGCAAAGATATTAGCCCAAACTAACATGTCAAATAGAATACCAACCTAGACCGAACAGAGCTGTCGCTTTGTGTCTCTCTCATTGAAAACGGGGTGAACCCCGATGCTTTGGCGGTACGCGTTACCCCGAAAATGGCACTCTGCACGCGTTATTCGTTAAAGGTGCCTAATAGCTGACGCTGCTTTACAGACTGTCATCAAGGATCTACGCAAAGAGACTGGTTCAAAACGTCTGAGCAATGCTCCTACCATGGAGTAATCGCTTGGGGGAGTCGGCGTGGGTTTAAGAGTTACTTGCTACATCGGTGCATTGAACGAGGTCTGTTTGTTCGGGTTTGGCGTTGAAATTAAGGATTTGCTACTATGCAAGCCGGTCGGAGATATACCCTTTTGTTTTGTTTTCCGGTACAAATACAGATTCAATTTGGCTTGGGTTCATGGAGGCATTGGAGAGGTTAGAGAATGTCTTGGGCTACTACTAGGTATCGTAAACTCGGGGTAGTGGGTAGCATAGCAAGGCGGCAGAGTAGAATGGTAGGGGAAATAAATATGAGGAAACAATTCCAACGTGGAACAAGTGATTCGCGCAGACAGGGATATTCAAATTCCAATTCGCAATTATTTTAACTCGTCGGGCTTAATCGCGCCCTTGGTCTCCTGGTTGGAACTAACTGGTTCTGACACGGACTCGACAGTGGCATGCTTGAGTTGATCGCCCTCTGAGCCAGTGGTCTGCTCCTTAGTCTTAGTTTCCTTCTCGTCATCGCTATCGCCGAGGCTAAATGGGTCGTTCTCCGCGACGGGCGAAGGCGCGACGCTGGACAATGGTTGCCATTTGCTCGCCTTGCTGCCCGTTGAGCTGAGACGCTTGGATGGTGTGGAGGAATCGTAAAGGTTGTCAATCTCGGTGGGCGGTCCATCCTGGAAGGACACCCTGCGCCGGTCTGGCGAAGGAGACGCAGAATGTTTAAAGCTGGACTGGCCTGGACGAGGGGGCGAGCCGGGGGAGCTGTGGCATAGTTAGCATAATCCAATGAAGCCAAACTTAATATCGTTGTTTACCTTCGCCATCCCTCAACTCAAGAGCAGAGAAATCATCGCTGAGAACTTGGGGATCTGCGTCGTAGCGCTCACGATCTCCACTGCGACGGCCCATATCACCACTCCGTCGGGGACGGGCATTGGCTGGAGTCTCTCTTTGATTCTGGATAGGTTCCTCGTCCAAATCATCTCCATCGATTCTCTTCTTCAGGTTTGTTACCCACGAGTTAACCTTACTCTGTGTCTCCAGGAAGCCCTTGCGGAGATTCTCGCGGATCACGGGTAGATCATCTGTAAACCATTAGCGCGAGCTCATTTGGTCAAGCCACCATAGTCCATACCATCAAAGAAGCTGTATTCTCTCTCATCCGAATCCTCGCTTCCTCTAGGTCGCTGGTACCGGGGGTCACTCTCCCAGTTCGGGGGCGGGGCGCGACGTCCTGCCGCATTGTAGTGCTCGGATAGTTGACGCGCATACATCTCATCGGCTTCCAGTTGTCGCTGTGCAGCAGTGCTCTGCTGGGTTGGGCGCGGCGGCTTTGGCGGCGGTGTCATTTCCTCTTGGGCCTTGGGGTCGGTCATACCTGCAAGCAGAGATCCTGGTCAGCCTGATACTCATTTCATAAATAGTAGGTTCCTCACGAACCTAGGAGAGCATTGAAGGCCCGTTCGACATTCCAATTGCTTGCGGTCAAGACGGCCTTGACAACACCGGGTTCGATGCTTGGGAATGCCTCCCTAAGGGTGTTCTCTGACTGTTCTCTCGGGTTCAGGGGCCGGGGCGGCTTTGGCGGGGCTGCCTCGGCGGCAGCTGGCTGGGCAACTGGCTGCGCAGCCACAGGGGAGGAAGTAACAACTCCACTCTCTTGGGGCTCGTCGTCAAAGTCCATCGGGCGCGCGGTAGTTGGCGACTCAGCTCGGGGGCTGTTGGGGGAGTTAAGGGCAGCCAAGGGCTTGGGAGTGTTCTGTGTATGAACGTGAGCCTCATGCGACAAGTGAGATCTTGGAAAGCAAACATACCATCTTGTCCTCCTCAGACATCTTGAGATATCTTTAAGATCTAACCGATAATCGAAAGTGACTGAACAGAAATTCACAAAAAAACAGTGTTGCCTGAGAATGTCTGAGAGCAGAACATATCGGGGAAGCTCCAAGTGACGTGGGGCGCACGTGATAGCGGGCGAGCTTTATACAGATCTGGATGTTTCTGCGACTCCGAGGATCCCCAAGTCGCCAATCTCCAAGTCGCCAATCTGCAAGCTTGAATTTTCAGAATGGCCCAATCTTAACTTGGGTTCTTTCAACAACCCATTCAGCGGAGCTCATTCACGGCTCAAATTTGGTCTAAAATGGCTTCAGAACAGGAGCTCTCGACCTCTTTCATTCCAGCCCTGTATAAACCGGCTGCTTTGCTGCCTATCGCACGCCACAAGAAGAACCTGATCTACCTGGTTGAAAAATACCCCGTCACCATCGTGGTGGGCCAAACAGGCAGCGGGAAAACAACTCAGCTTCCGCAGTATCTAGATCAGGCGGGATGGTGCGAGGATGGGAAGACCATTGCGGTTACACAGGTGAGCACCGATCCCATAATCCTTCAAATTGAGTAGCGACTAACTTTGTTCCAGCCCCGGCGTGTGGCTGCTACAACGGTTGCAACGCGAGTAGCCGAAGAGATGCGCTGCAAAGTCGGTGAAGAGGTGGGCTACTCCATCCGGTTCGAAGATTTAACATCTCCGGCAACAAGGATCAAATTTTTGACAGATGGAATGCTGCTAAGGGAAGCCTTGGTGGATCCTCTACTTTCGCGGTATTCAGTGATCATGGTTGATGAGGCACATGAAAGATCTCTCAGTACCGATGTGCTCCTTGGGACTCTAAAGAAGATCCGCAAGAAGCGCCCTGAACTTCGCATTATTGTTAGTAGTGCAACCCTTCAAGCAGAGGACTTTCTTCGTTTTTTCGCCGGCGAGGAGTACAAGCCTGAGGCAGACCCGGCGGATTTGGGTGGAAGCGTTGGTCGGATCATCAGTCTGGAAGGACGAATGTATCCAGTCGACATGCTGTTCCTTGACGCTCCGGCAGAAGATTACATAGAGCGAGCAGTCAAGACCGTCTTTGATATCCATACTCAAGAAGCAGAAGGCGACGTACTTCTCTTTTTGACTGGCCGAGAAGAGATTGACACTGCGATCCAGTTGATATCCGAAAGAGCGGCAACGCTCCATCCAAAGGCGCCCTCTCTGCTTACACTGCCACTTTATGCTGGACTCACCACGGAACAGCAAATGTACGTCTTCGAGCCGACTCCAGAACACACCCGAAAGGTCATTGTCTCGACCAACATTGCCGAGGCCTCGGTCACGATCGACGGGATTGTATATGTGATTGATTCCGGCTTCGCCAAGCTCAGAGCATACAACCCCAATACTGGTATTGATACATTGACTGCAGTGCCAATATCAAAAGCATCTGCCACCCAGCGAGCTGGCCGCGCTGGAAGAACGAAGCCAGGGAAATGTTTCCGTCTTTACACGCAACAAGCTTTCGAGCAGATGCCGGAAGCAACCGTACCTGAAATCCAGCGGTCAAACCTCGCACCGGTCATTATGCAGCTCAAAGCACTGGGCATCGACAACATTGTCCGGTTCGACTTCTTGACACCTCCGCCGGCAGAACTGATAATCCGTGCACTTGAGCTCCTGTCCTCTCTCGGTGCGATTGACGACTATGCCAAACTCACAAAACCGCTTGGAACGCGGATGGCAGAAATTGCTCTGGATCCTATGATGGCCAAAGTTCTTCTCACCGCGCCATCTTTCGACTGTCTAAGTGAAATTCTCACGATTGCGGCCATGGTCAACCTCCAGGGGACAGTGTGGGTTCAGCACGCCGGAGACAAAAGATCTGCCGAGAGCCACCGACGAAAGTTTGCCGTTGAAGAGGGCGACCATTTGACGTACCTGAACGTTTACCAAGCCTTTGTCACTAAGGGAAAGAAAGACTCAAAATGGTGTCGCGACAACCTCTTGAATTACCGGGCACTGCTACGCGCAGTGAGCATCCGAGGTCAATTAAAACGGTACCTAGAACGCTTTGGCATCCAAGTCGATGAGACACTTTCATCTCGTCATGGCCCTGCCGATTTGAGCCGCCAACCGGAACAGATTCGGCGGTGTCTTACGACGGGCTATTTTGCTCACGCGGCGAAGATGCAACCGGATGGAACTTTCAAGACTGTCAGCGGTGGTTTGACTCTTCATGCCCACCCCACCTCGTTGATGTTTGTAAGTGCTCATGTGTGGGAAAGTTACGTTTCGTTTACTGACTTGAATATAGAACCGAAAAGCCGACTGGGTCATATTCCATGAGATTATGCAAACGGGTGAAAAGACTTATATCCGCGATGTCACTAAGATCGAGAAGAGTTATCTGCTGGAGTATGCTCCTGATTATTACCGAGTCAGGCAATAATGACACTTGGAATTTAGCTAGAGAGGAATGTACAATAATACCCAGGCGTTTAAGGAGGCGGAATTGAGATATAGTATGGATTTTATAGATCCGTAAAAGCGAGAGGCGATTTGGGTTACTGTACAGGGAGTGATATTATGATATACATAATACTTACATTGTAAAGTTATATAAGAAACTAATAACTCCAAATATACTCCCTTGAAATATGTTCATAGAAAGTACATACTTGTGAGTATCACATCAATTCTCCGACGACGTCACGGGAGTGGAGAGCGTCCCCAAACACTTTTCAACTTCAAATCCTCCAAATCTTTATCTTATGATCTACACCTTGTACATCTAATTTACATATCTTACAATGTCAGGACACCATGATCACGATGGCCACTGCCACGGCGAAGATCACGACCATACCAACGATATCACTCCAGCCATCCAATCCCTCCTCTATTCTCAGATCAACTTCGACCTGATCACAACTCTGAATGGTACGCATAAGCCCTGTGATCAATCACCAGGTAACCACAGATGACAAGTCCTAATATTCGACAGAGACCACCCCAAATTCAGGCGCATCCATCGTCCAGAAAACCTGGGCCGAGCGACTAAATGACAAGCCTGAGCTCGAGAGCGATGCCGACGAACAGCTGCTTATGACCATCCCGTGAGTCTCATATTCCATATATTCTATGATTTATTGTAGCTGTTCACTTCAACGCGTCTTGAAAATCCCAAATAAACCACTAATCTTGCCCCTCACCGTTATCGCCCCAAAACTAACCCGAGATCTTCTACAGCTTCAACGGCCAAGTCAACGTCCACTCCCTTCTCCTGTACACTGCACCTACAAACTCCGCCCCAAAGACAGTAAAGCTGTTCAAGAACCGCGACGATATGGATTTCTCAACTGCATCGGAGTTGCACCCGACTCAAATCATCGAGGTCCCGCAGCCTGTACCTGGCGCCGATGTCTTTGAATTGCCCTTAAATCGTGCCCATTGGAACGCGACTACCTCTGTCACGCTCTTCTTCGAAGATAATTGGAGTGATGGTGAGGAGGATGTTACTAGGGTTGGGTATGTAGGCTTCAAGGGGCAGTTTATGAAGTTGACCCGGGAGCCGATTAATTTCCTTTACGAGGCTGCGGCGAACCCTCAGGATCATGTCTCTATCCCTGGTGTTAGTGGTGTTGGCAGTATTACGCCTGGCCAGTAGATGGGAGTTGGAGGCCTCTTTCACAGGGATGAGTATGTCTCGGTATGTTTTGGGGGTGTGATGATTAACGACAGTACCATTCTACTATGTATTTCTACATGGATTTTATTGATTTATTGGTGTTCATTCCAGTAAAGTGAGCTCGTATACCGAGTATCATTTATAAAATCTCGGGTGTCATAATCTACAGAGTATGCATTCACAATGTCAACCATGGATTTACAAGCAATAGAATCAACCGCCAACGCCATGGGCGCATGAAATCTACCCACAAGGTAGGCAACAAAAACAAACAACCATCAACGCCAAAAAAAAAAAAAAAAAGATGCTTTGAATCAATATAATGCAATGCTTGGTGCTGTGCAACGAGGACCCAACATATCCTCCTACTAAGCGTGCAACGCCGTCCGAGTCTCAGCCTTAGCCTTGACTCTTTGAGTCGACTCCGGCACCGGCTCTTCGACGGGCAAATCAGCAGTAGGTGGGCTCGGCAGTACAACAGGATCAGGCAGGATTTCAGGGCCAGCAAGTTCCCGCTGTAGAGCCTCCAGCTCATCCTCGACCTCATCCTCATCTTGGTTCGTCAAATGACCAGCCAGCATCTGACTCACCTCCTATAAAAAACTGTCAGCAAAACCGAACCCTAATCATACCCCAATCCCAACATCCTGCACAAGAGCAGCAAACAAAGACGAGGCACGTACCTCCTGATAAGCTCTCGCCTCCTCGGTCTCCCCCATCAATCTTTCAACGCCCTCAATGCCACCCATCTCCTTGTTGATAGTCTGTAGCACTTTCGTTCCCTGCTGCAACCCAAACAACACGTCCTTCTGCACAAGCGCAAACTCCACCTGCCCAGTTAACTGTTCCAGCTGCGCGAGTTGCCCATCTGTCTTCGCAAGGAGTGATTCTTGGTATTTCTTGCGTCGGAGGGCGAGCAGTGCCCGCCTGCGATCATCGCGCGCGAGACATTCCCTGGCGATCTCCGTTTCACGGTCTGTGAGGACGGTTATTCGTCGCTGGTATTGGTGCAGTCTGTCGCGTTGGTTTTTGAGGTCAAGAATTGCCCTGTAGACACCACGGGGTATTTGTTAGCTGAAATAATACAAGCTGTGTTCCTTGAATGGACATGCTGGGCGGGGATGAGAGGGTCTGAGAACAATAGTATGCTCACACAGACACTATTGAGGATAGGTTGTGGATATTGTATACAATATACAGTTTGTACTTACCGATCCTGGGCAGATATCTTCTGCGAACTACTCGAGTTTCCCATGTTGTTGAAGAGGAAGAATCCCTCATACTGTAGATGACCTAGACATGAATGACGTTATGTAACGGACCTGTAA